TCATTAGGGAAATGGAAATTGAAACCACAATGAAGTATTATCTAACACCTGTTAGAATGGCTGTCATTAAAAAGACAGAAGATGACAAGTGTTGGTGAGGATGTGGACAAAAGAGAAGCCTTGTGCATACTGGAGGGAATGTAAGGTGGTACAGCTACTGTGGAAAACAGTATATAAGTTACTAAAAAAAATAAACATAGAACGACCGTATGATCCAACAGTTCTCCTTCAGGGTACATATCTGAAGGAAGCAAAATCACTATCTCAAAGAAATATCTGCACCCCCATGTTCATTGCAGCACTTTTTGTAGTAGCCAAGATTTGGAAACAACTTCAGTGTCCATTGATGGATGAATGGATAAAGAAAATGTGAGATACACAGATAGATAGATATAAATCTACTATATATACTGTTTTCCACAATAGCTGTTCCACCTTACATTCCCTCCAGTAGCGCACAAGGCTTCTCTTTTGTCCACATCCTCACCAACACTTGTCATCTTCTGTCTTTTTAAGGATGGCCATTCTAACAGGTGTCAGATAATATTTCATTGTGATTTCAATTCTCATTTCCCTAATGATTAGTGATGCTGTCCTCCTTGGAAAAAGTGTCTATTGATTTATTCTGCACAGTTTCCAACCAGATTTCTTTTTCTTTTCTTTTCTTTTTTTATTGGTATTGAGATAGGTATACATCTATTTATCTAACTATGAATACTATTCCACCGTAAAAAGGAAATAAAGAAATCCTGCTATTTTTGACAACATGAATGGACCTTGAGGGCATTATGCTAAGTGAAATTAGTCAGAGAGAGTAAAACAAATACTGCATGATCTCACTTTTATGTAGAATCTAAAAAACCAAACCCACAGAAAGAGAGAATGGATTGGTGGTTGCCAGAGGCATGGGTAGGGGGCGGGAGAAATAGGTGAGGGTGGTTAAAAGGTACAAACGTCCAGTTATAAAATAAGTAAATTCTAGGGATGTAATGTATAACATGGTGACTATAGTTACCAGTCCTCTGTTATATATTTAAAAGTTTCTAAGAGAGTAGATCTTAAAAGTTCTCAGCACAAGAAAAAAATTGTTCCTATGTGAAACTTATTGTGGTGATCATGTTGTAATGTATACGTATATCAAATCATTGTGTTGTATACCTTAACCTTATACAATGTTATATGTTGACAATATTACAATAAAACTGGGAGAAAATACTGTCAAAACTCAATAATAAGAAAATAAGCACCCCAATTTTAAGAGATTTGATGTGGGCAAAATATGTGAACAGACACACTGCCAAAGAATATATGGTATGTCATAGAAGCATCTGAAAGGGTGCTCAACATCATTAGTAGGAAAATAGATATTAAAACCACAATGATTTATTATATACTTACCACGATGGCTAAAATTAAAAATTCTCATCATGCCAAGTGTTGGTGAGGATGTGACTTCCACAGCTGGAATTCCCATACAATGACAATAGGAATATAAAATGATACAACCTCTTTGGAGAGCAGTTTGGCACTTAGAAAGAGACATAGACACCTCGCCTATGACCTGGGTGCTCCAATCCTTGGTATTTAGTCAAGAAAAATAAAAGCATATGTCCATACCAAGACTTTTATACAAATATTCATAGCAGTGTTACTTGTAAGAGGCTAAAAGTGGAAACAGTCCAAATTCTATCCACACATAAATGAATTAAAATATTGTGTTGTATCTACATAGTAGACTACTACTTGTCAGTTAAAAGGAATGAACTACTGATATATACTACAGTAGGGATGAATCTAAAAATAATACAGAGTGAAAGAAGCCAGACAAAAAAAGAAATTTCATACTATGTGATTCCGTTTACATGAAATTCTGGAAAATTCAAGCTAATCTATGGTGACAGGAGATCAGAGGTTGCTTGACATGCGGTTGCGGGGTGAGTAGGAGGGAGGGATTACCAAGGGGCATGTGGAAACTTTTTTTTTTTAAAGATTTTATTTATTTATTTGAGAGAGAGAGAATGAGAGAGAGCACATGAGAGGGGGGAGGGTCAGAGGGAGAAGCAGACTCCCCGCCGAGCAGGGAGCCCGATGCGGGACTCGATCCAGGGACTCCAGGATCATGACCTGAGCCGAAGGCAGTCGCTTAACCAACTGCGCCACCCAGGCGCCCATGTGGCAACTTTTAGAGGTGAATAAGTTCACTATCTTGACTATGATGACTGTTTTACAGACAGATTTGTATTTACATCAAAACTTACCAAATTATACACTTTAAATTATGTTCAACTTATTGTGTATTAATTATACTGAATAAACTATTTGAAAAAAGAGTAGGGAGATAAAAACACTAGGAAGTAGGGCAGGGAAGGTTCTTAAGCTCTCTTTAATCTTTTTATTCCCCTTGGTCCCTTGAAATTGTTCTTACTTGATTTCTTTTTTTTCCTTTCTTTTAAAAGACTAGGGGCTGGGGCACCTGACTGGCTCAGATGAAAGAGCATGCAACTTGTTTTTTTTTTTAAGATTTATTTATTTATTTGAGAGAGAAAAAGAGAGCACGAGCATGTGAGTGGGGGGAAGGCAGAAAGAGAGGGAGAGAATTCAAGCAGACTGTTAAGAGCATGCAGCTCTCAATCTCGGGGTCATGAGTTCGAGCCCCACGTTGGGTGTAGAGATAGCTTAAAATAAAAAGAAAAGGAAAGAAAAGACTAGGGGCTATATTAAGGGAAATCAAAAACACATAATGACTAAATGCTGATGAAATTGTTGTAAAACAATTACATTCTCACCTTACATGTGGCTATATAAATTGGTATAGCACCTTTGAAAAACCAAATGGCAATGTATATCAAGAACCATTTAAATATATCCTTTTATATGTTTATGTCCTTTAATCCACTAGTTCCATTTCCAGAAATGTATACTAAAGAAATAATATATTTTTTAAAGGTTTTATTTGACAGAGAGGGAGAGAGAGCACAAGCAGGGGGAGTGGCAGGCAGAGGGAGAGGGAGAAGCAGGCTTCCCGCTGAGAAGAGAGCCTGATGTGGGACTCGTTCCCAGGACCGTGGAATCATGACCTGAGCCAAAGGCAGATACTGAGCCACCCAGGCACCCAAGAAATAATATTTTAAAAGTGAAACACTTAGATAAAAAAACAGTGAAAAGCTTAGTGTAGTATTTTATTTTATTTCATTTTTTCACAGATTTATTTATTTATTTATTTATTTATTTATTTATTTATTTATTTATTTATTTGAGAGTGAGCATGCACATGCACATGAGCAGGGGGAGGGACAGAGGGAGGAGAGAGAGAATCCCAAGCAGACTACTGCTGAGCGTGGAGCCTGACACCGGGCTCAATCTCACAACCCTGAGATCATGATCTGAGCCAAAATCAGGAGTCTGATGCTTAACTGACTGAGCTACTCAGATGTCCCTTAGTGAAATATTTTAAATGGCAAGAGGGCAAAAAAAAAAAACCCTAAAATGTATAACAGCAAGGGAATGATTAGGTCATTTTTTTTTAGTGCCACCAAAGGAAAGCAAATCAATTGCATCTAGTAACATAAGAAGTGCTTATATATTATTTTCAAAATCAGAATATAAAATGATTTGTACTCGATTAATGCAATTAGTTAACTATGTTCACAGATGGGAAAGGTTCTAGAGAAATGAAAATGGTTTATTTGTTAGGATGTCAGGATTTAGGGTGAATTTTCACTTACAGTTCTACTTGTATTGCTATGACTTCTTTAATAAGTAATAAAATAATAAAGACAGATGAAAACAAACCAGTGAATATGTCTTAATATGTAGTTCTCATAGCTACGATACTGAGATTTTAATCAGATTACAAGGTACAAAGATGGGGCGCCTGGGTGGCTCAGTCGTTAAGCGTCTGCCTTCGGCTCGGGTCATGATCCCAGGGTCCTGGGATCGAGCCCCGCATCGGGCTCTCTGCTCAGCCGGGAGCCTGCTTCTCCCTCTCCCACTCCCCCTGCTTGTGTTCCCTCTCTAGCTGTCTCTCTTTCTGTGTGTCAAATAAATAAAATAAAATCTTTAAAAACAACAACAACAAGGTACAAAGATGGTTGAACACATACATTTACCTTCCACCAAGAGTTCACTCAAATGACAAAATTTTTTAAAGACATAAACTTAAAAGGACAAAGACACTGGAGAGGCAGAAAATAAAATTTAGAGAGATTTAAAACACATGAAGAAAGCTGAATCAAAAGCTGCAGGATGAGAAAGCTGAAAAGCAACCTGATTTCCATTGTAGGACACCCCAAAAGAGCATAAGTTGCCAGCATCAGCTCCCAGAACCTGGGCAGCCAACATGAGAGAGGACTCTTCTCTGGGGGATCTGGATTAGCCCATGAGAAAATCTAAAGGTAACCATATAGAGAAGATGGGGCAGCAGGTCACACAGTGCCCACAGAGCTTACAATGAACACTTTGGACTTCATTCTTATATATGAGCACACTGTCAAGGATCATCAGTCATTTGGGAAAAAAACATCCAAATGCTAGAACAGAAAGTGAAGGAGAGAGGAAGAATCAAAGAAATAATTCAAGAAAACTTTTCCAAAGAGAAGAATATGAGTTTCTGGATTGAAAAGGCCCACTGAGCATCTAGCATAATGGATGAAAATAGACTCTCAGTATGGCATATAATTCTAAAGATTTTAGTGCACAAAGAAAAGATTTCACAAGCATCCATAAAGAAGAAAAAATTGCTTGTGTGCAAATAATATTCCTCATTTGCTCTACCCTTATTTCAAATGCTCAGGAGCACAGTGGACAGGACTGCTCTAAGTACCTCTGTTCCTGATTTATAGTAAGACTTGCCTTTTATGAAGTTATATATCATACATACTTTCCTGTTGGCCTCCTTTGCCTGATTACATTTTGTTTTGTTGTTTTGTTGTGAAATGAATACATACTTTCTTTTCAAGGTGTGCATGTATCAACATCATTGTCTTTATTTTGTTTTACAGTTGTTTTTTCAGCAATGATATTTGAGACTATTACAAATCAAGATCTGCCTGTGATCAAGTGTGTTTTAATCAATCATAAGAACAATGATTCATCACTGGGGATATCATCATCGTATCCCATGGTAAAGTAATATTAAAATTCTAACTTTAGCTATTTTCTCTAGAGGCCATATTTTGTAAGCTATCAAGGCCTACCATGGCTATAGGGTTTTTTTTGTGTGTGTATTTAAAAATATTATGTACTCATATGCACTCCATTTCATCCAGAGTCATGTTCTCTCCTAGTTTGGATTCAGGAAAGACACAGATACTCAGCATGAATAAGTAACAGGAATTACCTTTGTAACAGGAATTACCCTTTCTCCTTAAAGAGAATCCAGGCTTCTCCCTCAAACCCGAGTCCCTAATTTCCAACTGCCTCCTGGATCTAGATAAAAACAGGTTTTCCATTTGCTCATTAAAAACCACCTATATAATTTATTTCATTTCTATTTCCCCAAACCTGCTCCAGTATTATACTTGTATTAATTGATTTCTGTTTATGGGCCTGTCCAGTTCCCAAGCTTGAAAGGTCAGCATTGTTTTGGACTACTTCAGCTCTTTACCTTCACATTCGGTCAGTTACCAAGTCTTGTCAATTTCCTTTCTTTGATAATTCTCATATAATCACCTCATATTCTCTGGTCTCACAGCTACTTCCTTCATTAACTCCCCCATAATCACAATAATATCACAAGTGGCTTCTTCCTTCTACAGTTCATCTCCGATGGGGCTGCCAGACTGTTCTTTCTGAAGCACGGCTACATCCTTTACTGCCTGCCTTAGAACCTTCAGTGACTTCCCATTAAACTGACATGCAAATTGCTCCATCATCTGACTCTGGCTCCTTCAGGTTCCAAATTTGTTTTTCATTACCCTTCTCCTTCATGCAATTCATCTAACAGCTTAGGTATGTACTCAAAGGAAGGAAGCTTAAATAATAGAGAACTGAAAATATTAGAAATATATAACAAAAAGTGAATATAAAGTAGCCAATTCCATGAACATTTCCAGGTAAGGATTCATACCAATATATATAGTCAGTCTGTTTTCTTCTACATAGACAAGAATACATAAACACATAACATACACTGCATGATGCCCTGGGGACTTCACTCCCCACCCCCTTAAGATCAGAGATATTAAAAATATTCTCAAACTTAAAACATAGTGTGAAATAGGTTTCTGTAACATTCTATGTGAATGGAAAACTGATTTAACACATGATTTTTTTTTTTATGCCAGAAGCATGGCTGGTTTTAATTTTTTAACAGATACTGGCATCAAATAATTAAGATATTTTGCATACACAGTATTTCATTGTGAACCAAAAATGTTGGTATTATTTGCTATGCTGTTTTAAACTTTCAGTGTCTTTTCAACTTAAGAAAATAGCTGCACACATTTAAGTGTTTTCTTATAAAACACAATCTTTAAAAAAAGCTAATAATTGGTCTTGGTTCCTAGTGTTAAGTCCTGCGTTATTTTTTTTCATATAGTATAAGTTATATTCTTATGCAATATTTAGGATCGTATTAAGACCTAGTAGCTCTCAAACAACATTAAACAGCTAATCCTACAAATCCTAGATGAAGCAAAGATGAGCAGTCTGCACAATGTGCTTTCACCTTCCTGAAGTTGAAGCTGCTCCTTTGGGGCATTTTCCCACCTTAGTGGGAAGTGTATTGTTAGGGAAGCAGGGCTCTTTAAAAAAATGGTTTTGATTTCTTCCACAGTTCACATTGCTCAGATGAGACATCTTTCTGAGACTCTTACAGTTCAGGAGTGTTTTGTGTTTTGTGTGTTTTTTTTTTTAAGATTTTATTTGTTTATTCGACAGAGAGAGACACAGCGAGAGAACACAAACAGGGGGAGAGGGAGAGGGAGAAGCAGGCTTCTTGCAGGGCAGGGAGCGTGATGTGGGGCTCGATCCCAGGATCCCAGGATTATGACCTGAGCCGAAGGCAGATGCTTAACGACTGAGCCACCCAGGCGCCCCCAGGAGTGTTTTGAATAACCAAACATTCTGGTAGACAAAACTTGCCAATGTAACTCTAATAAATAAGCAACTACATCCTTAGCTGTATTACCGATATAACCTGGAACCAAAATAAGATGATTTTACTGTTCCTACAATCCACTTAATTGTTGTTTAAAATCTGAATGTTTTCACCATTTATCATTTCTGTTTGAAGAAGAATGTGGTGTATGCTGGGTTTCTCCACTGCAAAGTTACTCTTTTTTTCTTTGTAATTAGCAAGTATTTGGGGGAAGATGCAAATATCCCGTTTCTCCTCTAATTTTCACCTGTTGATTTTAGCACCCATTGGTGGATCTTGCCTACAACAGTTATTACTGTGATGTTTGCCTAATGGTGATTTTCTTTTTCCCTTATTCCCTCTACATGTCTAAATTGGAGTTGTGTGAGGAAGAGCTATCTCTTCTCTCCATTTTATTTATTTATATCAGTATGGACTCAGAGATATTTATTTTATTCTATGACTTATAACCCAAGACTATCAATTTTATTTTGTTGCTCAGATTTGTCCAGTTTTGGCCATTGGGAGCTACTTCACGATGACTTCTGTGTCCTTTCAACTTGTGCCCAGTTTTCTCAAGCACTTCCTTACTTCCTGGTGCTACATCAGGCTCATCTTGCATTTTTCCTTACCATAGCCCTGGAATTAGCCACTTCTCCAAAAAAGCACTGGTTTTTTGGAGGATAGTATATAGAAACCAAGGTCTGAGAGCTGGGTTTGCTCATTGCCTCTGGGCCCTCTAGGAAATGTATGTATGTATACTACCCTCCCCCCCAACACACACAACACTATTTATCTCTTTATCACCTCTACATCTACGTACTTACCTATCTTATATCACCATAAATTCATGCTGATAATTCTGATCTCAATTCAGCATCAAAGGGTTTATTCTACCTTTTCCTCTTTCCATATTTGTACTTCCCTCTCTGATAGTAAGAAACCTGGTTCTCATTATCTATAATAATTGACTTATGTAAACCTGGTATATACATAAACTAATTTCAGAATTGCTAACCCACATTCCAGTGAGAAACAGATTTACTAACTAGAATACAGTCTTTGTGTACAATTCTTTTTGTCTTTAATCTTACAGTATCTGATGTGTTTTTCAGTTACTTATTTTAGTTCTTTTCTTTCTCACCCCCTTCACCATGGTTACGTTATTTATCTGTAATATAATTAAATTTTTTTTGGTATTCCATTTTGAGTTCCCCCAAAATCCTGGTTGGTTTTAATTGTTTATTTTTTTGAATATGTGAAACATGATTATGGTCCTAAAATCCAAAGGCATATAAAAAGATACACTCAAAGAAGTATTACTCCCTCTTCATATCTATAACCAAGTTTCCATCCTTTTCCCACTTACCTCTTGTATGTAGCCAATCCCTTCAGATTTTTTTTTTTTTTTTTTTAGAGAGAGAGAGAGAGTATGTACGGGTGGCAGGGGGAGGGGTAGAGGGAGAGAGAGAATCCCAAGCAGGCTCCATGCCCAGTGTGGAGCATGACAAGGAGCTTGATCCCATGACCCTGAGATCATGACCTAAACAGAAATCAAGAGTTGGATGCCTAACTGACTCAGCCACCCAGGTGCCCCCACTTTAGATTTTTTTTTATCTTATTCCTAGATTTCTTGTGCACAAATGGGCAGATACATGTGTATTTTCTCAATCCCCTTCTTTCTTACATGAGGTGTAGTGTACATGAAAGTTTATACTTTTTTCACTTTTCTTCACCTAACAGTATATCCAGGAGATCACTCCAAATCAGTTCATGGACATTGTCCTCAGACTTCTTTATAGCTGCATAGTACTCCATTATATGGAAGTATCATGGTTTATTCAACCACTCTTCTGTGTATGAGCATTTAGGTGGTTTCTAGTATTTTGCAATTACTTGTTTATAGGTATAGTCCTTGAAGTGGGATTGCTGGCTCAAAGGATGAGTGCACACGTAGTTTCATTAGCTATTACCAAATGTTCCTCCAAAAGGGTCACACTGGCTTGCATTCCTCCAGAAATGTATGAGAATAGCTGTTTCTTCACAGCTATTATTCACGCAATGTGTTGTCATACTTAAAATTTTGGGCAGGTTGATAGATGAGAAGTGTGATATCTCAGTGTTGTTTTAATTTACGTCTTATAATTATAACTGAGTTTGAACATTTTATTCATATCTTCAAGGGCTATTCTTTATATCTTTCTTGGGTTAATTGTCTATTCCATTCTTTTCCCCATTTTTCTACTGTGTTTTGGTCCTGCGTCCCTCATTGTTAAAAAGTTCTTTATATATTGGGGGTATTTTATTGGTAATATATGTTGCAAATATTTTCTTCTAGTATGTCAGATTTTTAAATTTTGCTTTGTTTTGTTTTTACTCTATTCTGTGCCTATCTTTTAAGATCCAGCTCAATTTCTGGACTTCACTTAAGCCTCCCCACCCCCACCATCCCAGCTTGGAAGTTACTTCTCCCTCCTCCGAAGTTCCAGGGCACTTAAATTTACCTTTCAAAGTAGTTGGTATCTTTTTATGGGGCACATCATATTTCGCCTGATGTTTTAGCTATTCCTTCCTACTAGATGTGAAACCCTTTAAGGACAAGATCAATGTCTTTTCTTCCTAGTCCCATAGTGCCCAATAGATGGTCTAGCACTTATCAGATATTGAAAAAATGAACTTATCAGTTACTTGCTGAATAAATGGACAAGTAAAACCAGAAGTATGGCTTATGATCAGTAGCAGAAGACCTACCCTGCTCTTCACCTGAGGAAGCTTGTGGGTATCTGTTTGTGTGTATGCATGCACATGTGTGTGTAGGCATACTATGCTACGTGTTTGGAGGGTAGGAGGTGAAGGGTCCGGAGATAGAAGTTGCTACCACACTCTCCTTTCAGTATATCTCAATTACTTAAAGCAGGCAAGAAATGTGGTGGTGACAATGAGCCTATGGGGTATCTGCCCAGAAAATATTTAGGTTTTTAAATTCCCTCTAACACGGATACCAATTTACTATTACTATGTAGACCCTTTTTTTTTTAAATTATTTTTTAAAGATTTTATTTATTTATTTGACTGAGAGAGACACAGCGAGAGAGGGAACACAAGCAGGGCAAGTGGCAGGCAGAGGGAGAAGCAGGCTTCCTGCTGAGCAGGGAGCCCGATGCAGGGCTCGATCCCAGGATCCTGGGATCATGACCCGAGCCGAAGGCAGACGCTTAACGACTGAGCCACCCAGGCGCCCCTACTATGTAGATCCTTATCTACATACCAATAATCACAAAAACAGTCACCTTTGTATTATGAATTTTATGACTATTGTTTGTATATTAGTTTGTTAGAGCTGCTACACCAGAGTATCACAGCCTGGGTGACTTAAAAAACAAATTTATTGTCTCATAGTTCTAGAAGCCAGACGTCTGAAATCGAGATGTCATCAGGGTTGGTTCTTTCTGAAGGCTGTGAGGGAGGGATCTGTTCCAGGCCCCTCTCCTTGGCTCATAGAGGTTCATCTTCATATTCACACGGCGCTCTTCCTGGTGCACGTCTTCTTCAGATTTCCTCTTCTTATATGAACTCACCCCAACAGCCTCATTTTAACTTGATTACTGTGGAAAGGCCTTGTGTCTAAATAAGGTCACATTCTGAGGTAGTAGGGGTTGGGAGTCAACACCTGAATTTCAAGGGGACACAATTCAACCCATAACGGTATGTAAAACATATTGGAAATGCAGCTTACAGTTATCTATCTTTTTTTTTAAAGATTTCATTTGTTTATTTGAGAGAGAGAGAACATAAGCATGGGGAGAGGCAGAGGGAGAAGCAGACTCCCAACTGAGTAGGGAGACCGATATGGGGCTTGATTCCCAGGACCCTGTGATCATGAGCTGAGCCGAAGGCAGGCGTTAACCGACTCAGCCACCCAGGTGCGCCTATCTCTTCTCTAGAGAATTGTAAATAATAGGATTTTCAGTCAGTAATGTGTTCTCTTGTGTTTCGGGCGGTATGTCAACACGAATCTATTTGATAAAGGTCCCAGCTAAGAAGAGGATGTAAAAACATGCACTAATAGTGAATTCACCTTGTTTCCACACAGGCGTCAGAACCCCCAGAAGACCTCGGGTGCTCCTTGAAGCCTGAGAGCACAGAGGGAGTCTATGGAGCAGCGGCTGTGGAAGTGGACATGTTGGCATCCATCACGCTGCAAGTACTGGTCAACACCCCAGGGAACATTTCCTGTCTCTGGGTCTTTAAACACAGCTCCCTGAATTGCCAGCCACACTTTGATTTACAAAACAGGTAAGTGGGGAGCACCCACAAGGATTTTGGGAGGAAAACTTCCCTGCATAGCATGTAGTTCATATGGAGTTTCTTTTCAACTGTCCATCCATAGCCATCGTGACTCTTATCTCCAGTGAAATAATGAACTAAAAATATAATTAGGGCATGAATACATGGCATTATGTACTTATCAAACCTATGCATGTATAACACAGAAAGTGAACTCTAGTGTAAACTATGAATTTGAGTTAGTACCAGTGTTGATTCACCAATGGTAACAAATATACCACACCGAGGCAAGATGTTAATAATAGGGAAAACGTGTGTGTATGTGTGTGTGTGTGTGTGTGTGTTGGGGGGGAACATATGTGGGATCTCTCTGTACTTTCCACTCAATTTTTCCATAAATCTAAAATTACTCTGAAAAATAAAGCCTACGAACTTAAAAAATTACATATAGATATAGTTAGGGCCTAAGAAGGCAGTGAGTGGCTGGAAAAATGTAAAACAAACAGTGAAAGAATATTTGGGATTTTTACAGTGACTTGTTTTTTTAATTGGATCTTGTCTTAAAGATAAAAAGTTAGAAAATGTCCATTACTTTCTACTTCAAGTAGCCAGAAGCTTCTTTCTGGGAAATGCTTGGGGAGAGAACATTTGGGGGTTTTTTTTGTTTTTTTTTTTAAAGATTTTATTTATTTATTTGACAGAGAGAGAGACACAGTGAGAGAGGGAACACAAGCAGGGGGAGTGGGAGAGGGAGAAGCAGGCTTCCCGCCGAGCAGGGAGCCCGATGTGGGGCTCCATCCCAGGACCTGGAATCATGACCTGAGCCGAAGGCAGACGCTTAACGACTGAGCCACCCAGGCGCCCCAAGAACATTTGGTTTTAATCTCTTTTGTTTCACAACACGATGAGCAGAATTGCCGGTGACATCCACAAAGTATTTTAGTAAGAAATTGATCTGGGTATGAGGAACGTGGGTCTCATGATCCAGAAAAATATCTCAGCCAAGAATTGTGATGAATGGCCAAGTCTGTATCTAACTCTGAGCTGATTGCTGCCCCCTGCTGTCTCGGTCCCTCTTGCTGAGACCAGATAGGGGCAGGAAGAAAGAGGCACAAGTCGTTCAAATGCCCACTCGATAATTCTAAGGCTACTTTTCTCTCCAGTTCTTGGGGGTGTTCTGGTGCCCCAGGGTGTAGAGGACGTTCTGTCTTTCCAGGAACAGTCAGTAAGTGGTACCCAAATGGCCTACAGGGGGTATCCTGCCTGACTGATGTGTGGGGAGGACATCTCTGTGACTGACTTGTACCAAATTGTTTGCATTTGTTTCTTTAAGGTCAAACAAACTCATAAGTAATTTTTAGGATAGTGGCTATAATTCTGAAGTTTGGTTCCAAATCTTGGAACACATTCATTTTCTTTTCCTCTTTTGAGACTGTATTACTCAACTTCTGTTTTTTGGGTATTTGTACCTTGGGGTTAAACCAAAGCACTCTTCTATTAAAAATTTTGGCTTAAAGAAATGTTCTGGTAATCTTATTAAAATTTTGTGCCACAACAGTTCTCCCTGGATTGAGACCAAAAAGCAAATGTAGGGTTCTTGTCATTCCATGAGAGGTTGCTTTCTTTGATTTAGGACCGATGGTCCCATTTGTTAGTCCACATTATAGGTCTTATGTGGATTAGTTAACTTAGTACCAAAACTATTTAGCAGCTTGTCCACGGTAGAGAATTACAGAAATTTAGCTCTGGACTCATGGCCAGAAAGCTTGAACACCTAGGCTTTGATCACTGTCTTCCAGTTGTGTATGATATGCATTAAGTGTTCACAAATGATACCAGGAGAACAAATCGTTCAGAGAAAGAAAGCACATCACCAGAACAGCTGCAGGCACAAATCAAATACATATCCTACTAACGTATTGTCAGTATGAACACAAGCACAAGTATTCTCGAACCAAGCAGCTTAGAGCTCTACGGCGGGGCAGGGCGGGGCAGGGCAGGGCAGGGCGTCTCTGACGTAATGTGCACTTGGATTGCCTGGGGACCTTGTTCAAATGCTGATCCTGATTCAGTGGGTCTGGGCAGGGCCTGAGAGTCTGCGTATCAGTCAACACTCAGCTGAGGCTAACACTTGGAGAAATTTTACACTCTGAGTAATGAGCATCTAAAGGTCAGGAAGTGTAAATTTACACCCAGCATTACTCAACAAACTATTAGAGAATATCGTAAGCTTTAATGAGAACAGGTATCACCGAATACATCGAAGTTGTTTCTTGGAAAAGATTGCTCCCAGCCAAATTTATCTCTATCGGGTATCTAAAAAGTTAAAGGCCAAACACTGAGCCATCTTTCTCCTTACATATATGTGATTTTCTCCTTTACATAGGATAATGCCTTGTGTTAGATTTTGCTTGAATTCTTTCATCTACAGAGAGAGTCACACAAAACAGAATGTTCCTTATCTCTGTATATCTTGCTCATACAGTCATCTGGGTCCGCAAGTGGGGAACTGAGACTGGTGGCCAGGTGACTGAGCAACATGACTGTAGAGATGCTTGTCGCTGAGGGGAACGGTCCGTTACTACTGGTGGGAGTGTACCCCCAAGCCTGTGCATTTTGGGATGGGAGATATCCCCCCCCCCCAGAGGCCCGAGAAGCACGAGGTGAAGGTGCTGGAATGGAGGTCCCTCACTCTGAAGGGAGGGCTTGGATTAAGTCAGAGTCAAACTAACGAGGCTCCGGTGGAGTGAGAAGCTGCCAGCCCCCTGTGCCACAGTCAGAGATGGAATGTGGGGGCCCCCTGAGCCGCCCGCTGACTCAGGATGAAATTTTATGTTTTAGTTTCACACGTTTTCCAAAATAACCAGTTCTCTTTCTTGTTTTTTTTTTTTCAGAGGAGTTGTTTCCATGGTCATTTTGAAAATGACAGAAACCCAAGCTGGAGAATACCTACTTTTCATTCGGAGTGAAGCTACCAATTACACAGTATTGTTTACAGTGAGTATAAGAAGTAAGTGCACCTTGCTACTCAGTATTCCATTGTACCAGCTGCTGAGGACAGAATATTCAGGTTTCCCTCAATATGTAGTTGAATGGATTGGATTCACTTCAGCCATCCATATAACCCATTGACACTCTCTGGCATAACCCGTGGACTATCAGAATGAGCACTCTTGAAAACCCAGGACACTCTCTGTTCAGCCCTCCCCAACCCCCATCTTTTCAGTGACATGACTGACAGGGAAGAAATGGAAAACATTTTGACCGTGACCTTGGAGTTAGAAGTCCTGGATTCTTATTCTGGATCTGTTCCTACCACCTTAGGCAGGTCACTTAATCTCTCTGAACCTCAAATTTCCTATCTGTAAAATGGGGATAACATTGTAAGATCTTCGCACCGTCCGCTAGAACTCTCTGGGATAGGAAAATGTCTGTGTCTGTTCTAACAAGGTAGTCGCTAGCCACACGTTGCTATTGAACACTTGACATGTGGCCAGTGTGACTGAGGACCCCAGTGTTAATTTTATTCATGTTAAGGAGTTAAAAATTAAACTTAAATAACCACATGGAGCTCGTGGATACTTGATTTATATAAATGCTAGATCACTATGCAAACTGCCAGGAACAATCCAAATGTTCTTATCCACGGAGGCAACTGTGTGGTTGGCAGAATCACCACATGCATGTGCCTTCTGGCTTCTTGTTTCCTCCCAGTTATGCACAGTCCTAGCAATTGCACAGACTCAGCACGGTATACGCTGAACACTTCACCTCACATGACACGCAGGGACTAGAGGTAGGTGCCTTCATATACGTCCTACTGCCTTTAAGGACCAAGGCAGTGCTCCCAAAAGTATGGTTTATGCCATTTTATTTTATTTTATCTATTTTTTTTAGATTTTACTTATTTATTTGAGAAAGAGAGAGAGAGCACAAGCAGGGGGCGTGGCAGGCAGAGGGAGAGGGAGAAGCAGGCTCTCCGCTGAGTAGGGAGCCCGATGCGGGGCTCGATCCCAGGACCCCGGGATCATGACCTGAGCCAAAGGCAAATGCTTAACCGACTGAGCCACTCAGGCGCCCCTATGCCATTTTAGATTAGTTCCCTGGCCACACCTGAGTACTAGGCCCCCTCTTCCTTGTCAGTGACGTGAAGGCACAAAGCCAGGGTGTGGTGCATGAGCGTCCAGCCCATGGAGGTGCCCTGGCTCAGGGATAGCCATGGACGGTGTTCTGCACGTACCATCTTTGCTGAGGGGGATGCTGCACGTACCACCACATTGCCTCACAACAAGCCCACCTTCACGCGGGTGGGAAAACGGACACACTGGGTGGACACCACTAGAGGCCAGGTCTACACGGTCTGCACCACACTGCACCGGGGCTTGTGGTCGTAGTTGCTAACAGAAAGAGCACCTGTGGCCATTTAGATTCCCAGAAGTATCATCTTAACTGGGGCCGGGCTGGGGTGGTAGGTTTCTAAAATCGGCCTGTAAGGCAAAAAATCTGGTAAAGTCAAAATTTGTCAAAATTTCTGAAAAGCCCTTCAGTTTACTCTGAAATTTATAGGACCAGAGGCCTAGAAGCTCAAAAATCAAGAGGTACCATTTGTTTCTCTTTGATTTGGGTCTTGTTCCCTGTCCCCTCCTCAGTACCTGAGCCCACTCTGTGGGACAGCAGGTCTGTATGCTTCAGGTCGGAAGGGAATCAGAGATTCCTTGCTTGCTCTCTTTCTTTTTTTGCCAGTTGAATTTGTGTCAGATAAGTGGTGTCTGTTGTTGTCTCTATTTATATGTAGGCTATCTTCTTTTCACTTAAGATTTATAGTGTAAAAATATGACAACTATTCAAGTAAATTGTAACGTGCTTTTAGCATTCTGGGTGGTGAGGTTAAAAAAAAAAATCAGGTGGGGGAGTCTTGGCAACAGTCAATGTGAAAAAGAGGAAAGGGTTTACTAGCAAACCACAGGTTTAGCAGTAACCAGCAGTTAAGGCCTGGTAGCTAAAAAAAAAAAAAAAAGAAAGAAAAGAAAAAAAAGGAAAGCTGAACCTTGGCAGCATTCATGAGAATGGAATGTCTAGGTTCAGGAAATGAATGGATGATTTTTCTTCTCAGACGGATATTGACAAAACACAGCAACCAGATAGTGAAGAACTTGGAATTTCTTAAATTCAAACAGCTGAAGGACTTGAGAATGTTTAGCACAGAGAAGGAAATATTTTGAAGGGAGGCGACTGCTGACAGTGTAATGTAATGTACTTTTCTGGCATAGGAGTCAAGGAACCGGGCCTAACTAGTTAAAATACCTCGGATGGTGGGGGAGGGGGGGTGCCTGGATGGCTCAGTTCGTTGGGTGACTGACTCTTAGTTTCAGCTTGGGTCATGATCTCGGGATCTTGGGCTGCACGTTCAGCTCAGAGTCTGCTTGTCCCTCTCCCTCACCCCGCTTGCACTCTCTCCATCTCTCTCTTCCCCTCTCTCTCTCTCCAATAGATAAATAAATAAAATCTTTAAAAAATAATATTAAAAATAAAATACTTTGGACAGTAATTATCTCCCTTGACCTTTGTTTCTGATTTTCAATATCTGAAAGATTTTCATGTGGAAATAAAGCTACACTTAAAAAAAATGCTCTAGAGGGTAGAATTGGGACCAATGGTCAGAAATTGCAGGAAAGAATAAAAACCACCACATAATGAAAAAAGATACTTGCAATTCACTTAATCAACAAAGGATTAATAATCATAATAGGTAAAGAGCTTCTATAAATCAATAAGAAAAAAACAAAAATGAACAAAATACAAGTGGGCATTTCACTTTCAGAACATGAAAACTAAATGGTCAATAAATATGCTAAAATAATAACTGAGAAAACCAAATTAAGACCACACTGAGAAGGGAGCTTGGGGGGCTCAGTCGGTTAAGAGTCTGCCTTCGGCTCAGGTCATGGTCCCAGAGTCCTGGGCTCCCTGCTCAGCGGAGAGCCTGCTTCTCCCTCTCCTTCTTCTCCTCCTCTTGCTTGTGCTCTCTCTCTTTCTGTCTGACACATAAATAAATAAAATCTTTAAAAAAAAAAGACCACTGAGATACTATTTTATACCCACTAGATTGTTGAAAATTAAGAAGTCTTGTATACTTGGTGAGTACACAGAGCAACAGCAAATCTCATGTCCTGCTGCATAAGTTAAATTAGTACAACCCCTTTGGAAACAGATTATCGTTATGTGTAAAGCAGAACGTGCTCATATCATACAAACCAGCAGTTCCCCTCCTAGGTGTATTATTAAAGACACTTAAACACCTACCTCAGTAGAAATGTACAGAATGTTCATAGCACCATTGTTGGTAAATACAACAGACTCGTAACAAGCTAAATGTCCACTGCAAGAAAATGGAATAATAGATGGTAATACATTCACTGATGGAATACTATGTAGCGGTAAAAAAATGAATGTAGTATAGCTACATGCAAAACCATGGATGAATCAACAACATGAGGTTGGATGAGAAAATGAAGTTACAGAAGACTGTGTATTGAGGGATACCATGTTTTGAAGATCAGAAACAAACAAAGCAAACCAATATATTGTTTGGGGACACACATCTATGTGGTGAAAATATTTTTAAAAGCACAGGAATGATAAACACAAAATTCAGGTTAAAGGTTACCTAGGGTTGAGATGGTGGGGAGCATAAAAGTAGATTTGAAGATATTAATATTCCAGTTACTAAGTTGGAAATGGGTCTATGGGCATTTGCGTTTATATTATGCTTCAAAATTTACACTTCATATATTCTTTTGTGTGCATATAAATATATAGATATGTATTACATAATATTTTTAAACAAAATGTATTATAAGGCCAAAGATTGGAATTCAGAACAGGGAAACTTTCCTTTAAAGGAAAAGGTTTCTTGAAAAATGCAATGATCTACCCTGGGAGGTAGTGAACTCCTGTCGCTAGAGGGGTCCACGCAGAAGTGGAAAGTTTGTATGTTAAGCATTGTGGGGAGCAGAGGATGGCAGGGGGAGGTATGATGGTCCAAAAAGAATGGGAGGCCAAATTGAATCTCTCAATTCTGTTCCAATTCTAACTCTATCCTACTGTATTTCTGTGTTTTTAAATCAGTATATTTCTCCTTAGTTCTAGATAAAGTCATGGGAAGAAAGTTGGGTCTTCAATATATGGGCTTGAAACTTTATGTTTTCTTTTTCCTATGCAAATCACTATTTGTATTTTTACATGACCTCACTCCACTTAAGTTTAGTTGTCTGTAGGTTTAGGAAATACCCCAAGAAATTAGCTAAGAGGACAAATGCTAAAGTTGGCATTTCAGCCAGAGTTGAATTTAATATATTGGAAAGGAGGGGATGTATTATTGTATATATTTGGAGGGGAGCAGAAGATGCTGCTATGGTATAAAATATGTAACTTTCCTTAATGATGTAGAATTCTTTTTTTGAGGGGGCCACTAAGACAATTAGTTTTAAAATATTAAAATGTTACTAATTTATGATGCTCTAGATACACTGCTTTACACATTAAGGAGACCTTACTTTAGAAAAATGGAAAATCAGGATGCCCTGGTCTGCATATCTGAGAGCGTTCCAGAACCGACCGTGGAATGGGTGTTCTGCGATTCACAGAGTGAAAGGTATGACGTTTTATAGAGGTAATTGCTATTATAGCTTTACTTTTTGGTCTTTTTCTAATATAGTTGACATCATACTGTATGCATCAATTGGCTCATCAGAAGAATGGGGATGGGAAAAGGACTTACCTTATGCTACAGTGATGAAATGAATCGATACATGTGAGGCTCATCAAATGGCTGGTGCCTGGCAGATAATACCATATAAATGTTTACTTTTGTTTTTCACACGTGCCATAGCTAAGTTCTCACAAAGTAGAATTCATGCAGTTTGAACTAATAAAAGTTTACTAAACAATTTTAGTGAAAAATGGGACTAAGAAGGAGAAAAAGTAAAAAGTTAGGTTACCAAATGATACAAATGTGATCACAAATTTTAGAGGAAAAAGAAGAGATTACCTGTAGATACATATGTAACCTGTGCATGGGGGGTGGGGTGGGAAAGATGGGCAATCTACACCCCAAAATAATAATAGTTGTTATCTCAGGGTGGTAGGAATATGGACAATTTAAAATTCTTTTCTTTGGGTTTTTCTGTATTTTCCAAAATTTCTACAAGAACCCAATGATTGTTGTCTTGTAATAAGGAAAAAATACCCTGAAGGAACGATACGTCAACAAAGGAAAGAATGCATTTGACTAAAGTGATAAGGGGGAGGGAAGGTTCCAAAAGCCTGCTTTCGGAAAGGCAGCGGTTAGGGAAACCCTCAGGGAGGAATCCAAGTCGGTCTTATGCTGAGAAGGGGGTGTGAGGGCGTGGGAGTAGGGATGAGGAGGTGAGGGTGGGGCGAGGGGGGCTGCGGGGGGCCTGGGGGTAGGGGGCTGGGGGCGCGGGTGGCGGTGGTGAGGCGGTGGAGTGGGGGGCAGGGGGTGGGCGGCGTGGCGGTGGGCATGAAGAGGTGAGGGTGGGGGCTGAGGAGGGATGAGGGTCTGAGGAAGCGTGGGAGGGTGGACGGGTGGTGGTGAGGGGTACCGTGTCGGGTCCCGAGACCCGCCGACTTCCCTCCTGAGTCATGCCTCGCCTCTTCCCCGTGAGCTCTGCGGACGGGTGACTTCGGCAACTTTCTTCTCTTCCTCTCCCTCGAAGTCCTCTTCTGGGCTCGAAAGAAAAGATTTTCTTTTCTTTGTTAGGCCATATTGAAACCTAATGGTGCTTTTCCTTTTCTCTTGTCTTTTTTCCCTCTTTCTGTCTTCTTTCTCCATTCTTTCTCTCGCTAAACAACAACAACAAAAGAGGTCACCAAAGCCCCCTAAATTTAAACTTACATAAAAATGTATGTAATCTGGGGTTCCTGGCTGGCTCAGTCGGGACAATGTGGGACTCTTGATCTCCTATGGTGAGTGAGCCCCACATTGAGGGTAGAACTCACCAAAAAAAAAAAAAAAAAAAAGAAAGAAAGAAAAGAAAAAAGTATGTAATTCTGTCTAGTGTTATTCTAGTTTCTTTTTTTTTCTTTTTTTAGTGTTACTCTAATTGGTTGAGATAATGAGTAACTAGAAATCTTAGTAGATTTGGGTTTATTTTGGGTTTCTCTTAAACAGGCTCTAGAACCTTTCACTTTGTTTTTCTCCTTCACTTTCGTTTGTAATTTTAAAAGGTGTTTGGTCAGAAGGCTCTTTTTTTCTAATTGCAGCTGTAAAGGTGAGAGTCCAGTCGTTGTTACAAAGGAGGAAAGCGTACTTCATGAACTGTTTGGAACAGATATAAGGTGCTGTGCAAGAAACGAGCTGGGCAGGGAGTGTACCAAGCTGTTCACAATAGGTAGGACCATGAGACGGGGTTCTTCTCTTTTCAGTGACTATTCCTTAGGAAAAACCCGAGGTGGACAGTGACTGCTTAGGTCATCATTCACCTTCAGAGCTGCCATAGTTCTTTATGCCACTTAGAATATTTTGGATTCAGAACTGCTGATTTCTTTATGAAAGGGTAGACAGTCTCTCAAGGATTCTTCTATCCAAGCAGCTCGTAACATTTGAGATGACAGTAAAATCTTTGGTCTTCAGAATGTTTGGCATGTATTTTGCATTGAGGGAAAAAAGAAATCACCTTGTTTTCTCACTCGGGATGTTTTCCTCCTTCCAGATCTAAATCAAACGCCTCAGACCACACCGCCACAGTTGTTTCTGAAAGTAGGTGAACCCTTATGGATAAGGTGCAAAGCTGTTCATGTAAACCATGGATTCGGACTCAGCTGGGAGCTAGAAAATAAAGCACTGGAGGAGGTAAGATGACAAGTTTGCATTCTGAAACTGCAGACACAAAGACCGAATAGTACGGGTTGAAGTCATTAAATTCAAACTCTGTTTTATTAAAATCTAGGGCAGCTACTTTGAGATGAGTACCTATTCCACAAACAGAACTATGATACGGATTCTGTTTGCTTTTGTATCATCAGTGGGAAGAAACAACACTGGCTATTACACTTGCTCCTCTTCAGAACATCCCAGTAAATCAGCTTTGGTTACCATCATAGGTAATGCAGGCTGCTCACGCAATCTTTATTGATCCTTTTAGTTGCTTTAGTGTGGAGTGTGAGGTATGTACTGCAAATTCGGATACCAGTATACGTTCGTGTCAAAAAGCTGAGAACGAAACTGACATAGAATAGTTTTGTAAGTAGAAGCTGCCTGCACCCTTCCTTTTCCACTTAAACCGTGCTCACTTGAATGCTCCTGTCTTTGCACTGTCATTATAATGTGACCATCTGTTTGTGAATGTTTGTCTGCCAATAGACTCTAAGTTTCCGAAGGACGGGAATAATCCCTTCTATCCTTGTGGTCCCAGAACCTGGCAGAGAGCCTGACACAAAATAGGCACCTAATAAACACTTGTTCTGAGAACCAAGGGTGATGAGCAATGACAGAGAGAAGGGACAGGCACTTAGATGCCCGGAAATTGGGTGGGCTGCGTAGGATTGGAAAATAACCACGCTTCGGTAATCTCAGATCAGGTGGCAGCCTCCAGCCATACTGAGAATGCTAGGAAATGAGGTGATTCTCGTACCAAACTAATAAGGAAGTGCTCCGTAAAGAAACCTGATGAATACTGCTGGCTAGATTGTTTTATTTGTGCCCGAGATGATTTTATGTGGGACGTGTCACTCACTGAGAGAGCTGTTTTCACTCAGCAGAGGGCTTCCGAATTCTGCTAGTCGATCCCCCCACTCATGTACATGCTTGGCTCGGCTGGGGAAGCCCTTCGATTTCTTGAAATTGTCCACAAAATCTGGAGGTTGATTTATATACATTTCTTTGGGAAGGGAGTCAATTATTCATATCCAATTCTTAGAGAAATCTTGACTGTAGAAGCTGAGGAACCCAGGCTTATAACTGGGGATAGGACTCCTGTATTTCTTGTCCGACTATCAATTCTGACCTGCGGCATGCCCACATCTGAGTTTTCTTATGTTAAACTGATGAATAAAAATTTATTGTATCTTTTCAATGTATGTCCATATGGATCCCATCTAATTTATAAATGTACTTTTTTTTTTTTTTTTTTTTTTACAGAAAAGGGATTTATAAATGCTTCCAAATCAAGTGAAGATTATGAGATTGACCAGTATGAAGAGTTTTGTTTTTCTGTCAGGTTTAAAGCATACCCACAAATCAGATGTACATGGACCTTCTCTCAAAAATCGTTTCCTTGTGAGCAGAGTGGCCTTGATGATGGGTACAGGTGAGCCAACAAAGAGCTCAGGGGCTCGCCTGGCTTAGCGAAACCCTCCTTCTTGCCCCCAGAAGAGCAGTTTTGTATTACAGGTTTATATATTACTGAGTTGACGTTGAAGATGAGAAAAGAAAAAGCAGAGATGAGGCCATCGTACTAGTCTTATAATCAGTTAAGATAGTGTAACCTACCGCACAAAAAAACCAGAAAGAATCCTATTAGTTTGAGTATGGTTCTGTGGCATTTTCTGAGTCACTAGATGGTTACTTCCTATTTGAGAGTACTGTGCTTTAGTATACTGAATCTCCCTCAGCACGTATGCAGATGATTGAGGAAGTAAAACCCCTTTAAAAACAGCAAAACATTACCTATAAGTGTATTGATTTAACTTTTCAAAATTATAAATGCAAAAATAGCCTCAGAATAAATGCTGAAGGAAAATTGCATTTGTATAGCTGTGTTCAAGATTGTTTCATGGGAGAAACTCTTCGTTCCCTCTTTGGAAAACAGAAAACAACTTTTTTCTTGTATTTTCTATAGCTATGACGCCTCTTATCTCTTTTTTTTTTTTTTAAGATTTTATTTATTTTTTAGAGAGCGAGCGAGAGAGAAACAGCATGAGAGGGGGGAGGGTCAGAGGGAGAAGCAGGTTCCCCGCCTAGCCGGGAGCCCAATGCGGGACTCGATCCCAGGACCCTGGGATCAAGACCCGAGCCGAAGGCAGACGCTCAACCATCTGAGCCACACAGGCGCCCCCACCTCTTATCTCTTAAACGTAGTCCTATGTAACAAGATTTCATGCTAGACTCTGAGCGCCTGAAAAGCACTTGTCGTCTCTCAAGCAACTCAGTGGTCTAGAATAAATCGTTTCTTGACATGTGGTCCATAAACCATTTCTGTAGGAATCATCTGGGCAAATGTTAAAAATGTGGATTCCTGGCCCCCATTCTAGACATGCTCAACAACTGGGGCAAAATGCCCAGATTCTACATTTTTCATGCCCTCTGGTGATTCCTCTCACGGGTCTCGATCCATGTGTTACAGTACAGTCAGGATGGCTATTGAGTACTTGAAATGGGCTAGTTCAGATTGAGATGTGCCATAATTGTAAAATACACACTAGATTTTGAAGACTTAGTGTGGAAAAAAAGACTGTAAAATATCTCAATTTTTATGCTGATTATATGTTAAATTATAGTATTTTGGATATATTGAGTTAAATAAAGCCAATGATTAGTTTTTACTTATTTTTCTTTTTTATAGCTAACTGGAAAATTTAAATTACCTATATGGCTTGCATTCTGTTTCTCTTGGATAGCATTGGTCCAGGTGAAGGGGAAGAGTTGGGTGTTTTTTTTAACCTGGATTCTTCTCTGTTTCACAATTGATGTGCTGTTCTTCATACCCCCAAATTATTTATAACTGCTCCTTGTTTGCATTTTTTAAAAGGCTGTAATGCAGAGTTCCCATGGAACCCTCTGTCCTCTCTTGCCTTAACCTCTTAATGTTCAAAGCATTCACTTTTCAGTTAATTAAGAACTCAGTCTTTGGCCTGTGAGCTGACTGATACCCACTTCCCTGAATCGGGGTTTCTCAAAAGCAAACTATTGACATCTTGGGCTGAATAATTCTTTGTTCTGGGGGCTGTTCTTTGCACTGTATGATGTTTAGCAGCATCCCTGGCCTCCACCCACTGGATGTCCGTAGCAATTCCATCCCCAGTTGTGAACCAAAAATATCTCTGGACATTGCCAAATGTCCCTGGTTTGGAAGAATTGCCTGGGGTTCAGAACCACTGTCTCAGAAGGATCATCCCGTTGTCATAAGCTCTTATTCTGAATTATCAAACTTTTGAAAGTAGGCGGCCAGGGAGTCAGCCCCTGTCTTTCTACTGACTTGACCACCACAGGCCTGAGTTGAGATGGGTATCAGTGGTATCAACATCCATTCCCTTCTTTGTATTGTGACCCCATGTCAGAGAAGCTCTTAGTGCTATGGGATTCTGTTTTGCTCCTGATCCAAAGAGCTAGAGGATCAATTCGATTTAATTCAACAGATACTCCCTAAATGTCTTCTTGATGGGCTTGATGTTCTGAGGGTATACAAGAATGTATACCACCCACCCACCCCCCAAAATTAGGCACATTCAAAGGCAAGAGGCACCTGGGAGATAATTCATTGCTCCTTTGCTGCTGAATTCTGGCATTCTTGAATTTTTACAGAATCACTGTTTAGAGGGCCATGTCTCTGATATGCAGGTCACGGACCAATCTAATGGGCTAGTGAATTCCGCTTCATTCCGTGGTCACAGTCTGTACCCTGGACCCCAAGCAGTTAACCTGTACAGGCAGCTAAATGAATAAATCAGGACAGATCCTAATTCTTAGAGTGTTCTGTGCCTCTTCATTCATAATTACCTGGTAATATAGTTAACGTCTTTGTGTGTTGAACCTCACCAGTGAGTTTATCAGCTCCCCCAGAAGGGTGCTCTGTCATTCCTCTATCTTTAGACAGTACCTTGTTGAGGCAATGTGTATTTAATAAATGAATGAATTCATCATCACTCCTGGAAGTGGTGATGCATCGCCTGGGCCAGAATGAGTCAGTGGTTCCTCCTGTGTCCTGCAAGGACCACACACAAGACACTCGTACAGCGCTCAACACTCAGAGTTTATTTTATTTAAAAAGTTCTTGAAGAGCTGTAGTATTTGTTGGTGACACCAATGCCCTGGATACAGTGTTTGTCGGTGATAATGGGGCACCGGGTATCACGCAGCACCATATGCATCACGTAATACGCAACACAAAGGGAAGATGGAGCCTCCTTCTTCGTGAAGAAGATGCTCAAAATACTGAACAAAAAATGAATAATGACAAATCTAAACGTAGCTTCCACTGAGTGCCCTGAATGGCTTTTGCTCTCCACACCAGGCTCTGTGTTGAGATAGCAGACTTCATTATAATCTGAGCTCTTTCCAATTTACTAATAAGCTAAAAGAATCATGCAGTGAGCATCCTTTTCCTTACCACTTACGTTCAAAGGTTTAACCAAACCGAAATTTGTTTGTGAAGGACTGTATTTTAATCATGTTGCAACAGATGACTTTATTAGCAAAGTGACATGAGCTTGTGTAGCTGTAACTGAAAGGCCTCTGTAGGAACCCTCCTCGTGAAAAAAGGCCATGGTGTGGTCATAGTGTGTGTGCCAGAGTCCGTCAGCTTCCCCACCTTCGCAGCTTCGTTTCTCCTATTTACTTCCTCAAACATCACACCCCAAGCGTGAGGGCTTGCCTTTCTGTGTTTACATTTTATTCCACTGTAATTCTCTAGCAGTCCTGATATCTTGATCTCGCGAAGAGGTCCTAGGATATTCATCTGTTGTTTTGCATAATTTCCTGTCCCCCTAGACTTACTTATAAATGCTGAATCTACCTTAGCTTTCCCAGTTTCTTGGTTAAAAAAAAAACAAAAAACAAAAAAACCCAAGCCTTCAGGTGTTAGAATTATTTAGTGATTCCTTCTGAAAGACTGTCCTTGGCTTGTCCGATCTCTGTGTTTTTCTTTTCCCTGGAGTATTTCATTTTCCACCTCTAGTAGCCTGGAGTTCTTCACACACCGAGCATTAACCGAGCGCTTACGGGAAACAGCAGTGTGGTGGTCATGTGAGTTCTGGGCGGTAAGATGCTGTCGTTCTCAAGAACACATTAACAGAAAAACAGGCTCTCAAGTCAATAAACGATATGTAATTGCAGAAGTGTATTAAGCCTCTTTGGAGGATTTTCTTTTTTCTGGAAAGAGATGGGCCTTGAATGCATATAGAAAGGAGGGAAACGTCGTGTGGGTTCAGTGAAGCACCGAGAGCCCCCAGCAAACCCTGCCCCCCTTCCCTGCTGCTGTTTGGGGGCAACAGGGTTGTTCCTTTTCTCCCAAAGACCCCGCTCACTGAGAGCAAAAGAAACTTCTTTAAACTCTGAACACATACCAGACAATGTGCACATCCTTTATGTGGATTACCTCGTTTAATACCCATAATTCCATTTTTTGAAAGATAGAAGCAGGCTGTTACTTGCCCACATGGAAGTACCCTTCTTTTACTTCTGTTTTCTGAAATTGCCTTTTAAAAAAATAGAAATAACACCGATATCTCTACCTCTAGAGATTGTATTTCAGATTCTTTCTATGTAATCACCATGATAGGAACATATAAATACAGGTTTTTATGCAAATATGACATTAATTTTGCCATTTGTAACCTGATTTTTTTATTTAAAGTATATCGTGAGCATCTCTCCATGGTACTAATTAAGTATATTATATCTTACCCTATTTACATTATCATCTTAATGGCTGCATAGTATTCTGCTTTTTAGACCATTTTATTTTAACTGACTCCTGTTGATGGGCATTTACTTTAGGGTTTTTTTTTTCTTTGCATCTTTCTGTTTTAATGTGATTTTCTCACTTAGAGTATGTCCCACGGTAAAGTTTCTAAATTTCTTTTATGTTCAAAATGATTACTGGACTTAATAAGCCTTCTGGTAATGATAATCTAACACATATATTGTGTTCAGTATAGGAACTGGGCACCATTACAGACACATCATAGAAAACTACTTAATAAAAATTTAATACAGTGTTCTCCCACAGCCATATGAGGTGAATACTACTACTGTCTTCATTTTACAGACGAACCAGCTACAGAGAGGTCAAGTGACTTGCCCAAGGTCACACCACTGGGCAATGGCAGAGTTGGGATTCCACCAACCTAGGATTCAGAGCCTACATTTTTGACCACCTCACTATACTGGCTCTGGACACCAAGTCATTTCAAAAGTGTAGAAGCCCCAAACCCAGTGTGCAAGAAAACAAAAATGCAAGCAATGCAAGCATTTTCGTTGGTTATTTAAAAATAAAGTGTGCCTCCTGATGAGCTGTACCATGCAATGCTTTGCTACTCAGTGCTTAATGGTTCTATTGCTCCAGGCTTGCTGACTCCCCTGAAATAAAATAAAAACGAGCAGGGTATTATTATATAGAGTCACATGAAATCATCAGCACCTTCCTCCCACCTCCTGACTATCTTTAACTTGGGGCAGAAGTTGGAACAGACCAGATTCAACTTCAGCCTGGCCGTGTTCCCCCAGCCCCGCCGCAGGTACAGTCTGCGGGAGACAGAATCGCTGGCTTCCTGATCGGATGGATAGCGCTCGGTGCTGTGGAAAGCCACCTGCAGTCCCGTCAGCTTAGTCACCAAGATACTGTTTCACTGTAAACTCCAACGTCCTGATCTCCTGTCTCATGCCAGCTGGCCGTTTTTTAGAAAAACCCTAAGGGGAAAGAGGAAGCTTTCAATCTCCTGATCACCTCGTTGGTTAGTCCCCTTGGAATTCCCAGAGGAGGTTCAGTGACACAGTTGTTGCTCTTGATAGGGTTTAACTGTCATCAAAGGGCTAGGAGGGGGGCCCAAGCAGTCTAAAATTTGGTTTTGTGTTCAGGTTACTTAGGTGACCCATTTCCTACCTGGAAGAGTGAGAACATTTCAGATGCTCTCTCGTCTACCCCATGGCAAATCATACTCCATTAAGATAGCACAAAAGACTTAGGAGGGAAAAAGTTTACAAAACATTTTGCTTTGGTCTGCATGATAATCACTAACTGTATGGGTAGTTTTTTCTTCAATCCAATTGATTGGTGCTTTAGGCGGGGTGCCTGGCCAGCCACACTGGCTTCTTTTTAATCTCCTTTCTTCTTTCTTTATAGGGTCTTTGACTATTGTCCATTGGGAATTAACGTTTTCCCTTTTAGAAGCACACATCTGTCCCTTCTTGGGCCACTTAAACTCTGCCTTCCTAAAGTCTGGGAATCACAAGTAGCTACATTTGCTTTTCTCCCTAGTGTTATAATGGTGCACTCCCCCATCTTTCCATTACTGCGACTTCAGCAACCGTTTCCTTGTTGTCCAGTAGGTCAGGATAAGAAATTCCACTTTATACGTCAGCCTTCTTGACGTTAACAGGGCGAACAAATCAAACAGGGCAAACAAAAAACTTGTTAAATGCTCACTTTGATAGGTCAGAGAAATACATTCCCTTCTCACTATACAAAGTCAGAATTACCCTTTAGCTTTGGAGTTAAGGGCACAGAACACTGGTGTCGAATAAACATGGGCTCCAAAGCTGCTCTATCAGTCAGTTGCTTGATGTGGGTGTTGAGTCTTAGAGATCAACAGGGATTTTGCTTTCTCCCTCTTCCATATCCAGCACAGCACGGGCTAGTTCTTTTTTCCTGGTACCTCTTGGGTTTGCTCTTTCCAATCCTTTCCCATTTTCCCTACCTTAGACAGCACTTGTTTTTGCATGCTCTGAATTCTCAAATCTGAACTTTTACTTCTGCTCTCATCAGACTTCCCACACTCTACTGGAACTGCTCGTCTACCTTCACCACCAACGCGAAAATTCTGTGAGAACAGAAACTTACCTCTTGTACCTCACTGTTGTATCCCTGATTCCTCCAGTGAGTAGATTCTACCATTGATAGTAGAATGAATGAATGAATGAATGAATGAACGAATGAATGAATTCCTGTGTTACAGCAACTGCCTCCAGACTTCTCTCCAGTGAACTTTTCCTCCTGCCATCAGTCTAAACTACAATGCTGCTCATGATATTCCTTTCCTGACCAGGAGTCTACAGCATCTTCCTGATTTCCCCATGAGTTTTGAATAATGAGGCTTGTTTCTCATGGTCCCTGATCACTTGGTCCCACCCTACCCGTTCAGCCTTTTCTCCCACATCTCAGCTTGTGCTGCCCCCTCCTCTCCATGTGGCCGCACTAGAATGCCCTTGCCTCCCCCTTGGATGCTTTGCTTTTGCCCTCTCCTTAAAACCAACTCATCTGCAAAGAGCTAGCTCAAGTCCTGCTTCTGTGCAGACCTCTGAACGTTTCTCATCTATATTGGCCTCCTCTGCCTTCTTTGATCTTCTATTGGCCTTTAGTTTAATTCTACCTAGGGAAGTTTTGTCCACCCACCTGGTTTATGATATCTTTGAGGACAGGAGCCATATTTTGTAGGTCTTTGCATTCTACATAGCTCCTAGTTTAAGTCTGGTTTCCACACCCCGTGTTCTCCTATTCACACTTCTACCCTGGCAATATGTTTTATTTATATATATTTTATTTATATATGTTTTATATATATATGTTTTATATATACACACACACACACATATTTTACTGTTAATAGGTTATATAGAGGTAGCCTAATTAAATATCTTCTGAACAAGCCTTAGATTTCCTTATTCTGTTTTAAGGGAATATTTTTTCCTATTTCTTCAATGCATAAAGGCATATTCAACAGCTCTTTGATCCCCCATCTCCCCTACACTATCCAGTATCCTGCTATAACATTCAGCATCCTATATACCTGGTAGGCATGGTGGCTAATGTGCAATATCAAGTTATCCATGTCCAAATGTATTGAGTGGTTGATGAGCACTCCAAGTAGATACTAGAGCGTGCTGAAACCACCTAAAGATTTCTGTACAAACTCAGTGGATTTGAGCCCTCATCACTATTAATTGCTACAAAAGTCAAGAGTTGGTTATAGGTCCTGCATTGGACCAATGTCAGAGAGCCATCCTTTTAGGAAGCAGGGGGATTATGGGCTCCTGTCCCTATAAGAGGTTCTTCCATATATCTGGGAAGTCAGACAAGTCCAGGATATATAGAACACTAGGGGCAGGAATCTTCTTGTCTCTCTTAGGAACCCCAGCCTAGAGGAGTGCTTCTCAACCTTTGATGTGCATATGAATCACGTGGAGATCATCTTAAAATGCAGACTCTCAGTCAGAAGGTTTGGGGTGGGACCTGAAATTTTGTATTTCAAACAAGCTCCTAGATAATGCCAATGCTGATGTTACCTGGCTGTGGACCACACCACACTTAGATTAACAAGGGCTTAGCACACAGACACCCTTTTGCCTACTGGACTTTAGGGAGTCAGCGTCTCAAGGAAGACTCCTATGCATGCTGACATTCATTTCAGCATCTCCTATAAGAATCTGGCTAAGTGTATCTTTAATTCTTTTTCAAACAGCATATCTAAGTTTTGCAACCATAAACACCAGCCAGGAGAATATATATTCCATGCAGAAAATGATGATGCCGAATTCACAAAAATGTTCACGCTGAACATAAGAAGTAAGTTAAATTATCAAGAAATTTCATTTTCATTTTATAACTCCTTCATTATGTATTAACTATGACCAGAAAGAGCTAAGCAATGGCTTAGAAGGGATGCTATAAGCTATTTTTATATGCTGAAGTATGTTGAAATTTTACTTCAAATCTACTGGCTTTATTTATATATAGATGTATCTATTGATCAATCGATCAATAGATATAGATAGATAGATACCTCTTTCTGTGTTCATCCTTTGAAGCTAAGATACTTCATCCTTTGAAGCTAAGATACTTCTTCCATGTCCTCTCTGAGCGCACTTTAGTGTAGTGTCTCATTGACTTTGGTACTTTGAAAGGTCATGTTAAGGAAGAGCTAAAAGTCACATTACCTGCCATTTGTTTGTCTTAGTAATTTCTGTTTCTTTAAAAGAAGAAGATATAAAAAGATGAGAGTACATTTCGTTGGACTTTTTGTAGGTGTTTCTTCTGAAGCCAAGAATCAATTTGATTCTTGGAGGTAATAGATTTGCACGCCTCTGCTCTCTACAGGAGGGGCCTGGCAGTGGAAAAGTAGTGTTCCGCAGATGGGTGGTAGGGTTGCCTGGACAGGAAATTCCATACAAGGGGCAGAAAGGGAATAACCAGAGGGCTTGAGTCATCCTGCATATGAGACACCCTCACCAAGGCGCAAACAGCTTGGAGTGGACAGGCAGCCTCGATGAAGCGAACGCTGAAGCCGTTTCTGGAAAGTCCCATACCACAGGAGCTTATTTTATGTGTTATTCTCTACAGGGAAACCTCAGGTGCTAGCCAAGACATCAGCAAGTCAGGCTTCGTGTTCCTCTGATGGCTACCCCTTACCATCTTGGACCTGGAAGAAGTGTTCCGACAAGTCTTCCAAGTAAGGAAGACATTGGTGTCTCTTGTGTTGGAAGAACATAGAACTCACTCTCTCTCTGACATATTGACTCTTTCTCATGAATACACTTTAAGAAGAAATGATGAAGTATTTAAAATGTTTGCCTTCTGAGTCAACCATAATTCTCAACGGTCACAGAGAGTTTCTGATAACTTTTAACAGCGAAATTCCTTTCCAACCTCCCGAGACCAACCCTAACTTCTAACCTGACGACAGCCCCACCTGCCTAACTTCTCTGTCTGCCATTTCTTTTCAGCTGCACAGAGGAAATCACAGAAGGAATTTGGAATAAAAAGGCCAACAGAAAAATGTTCGGACAGTGGATATCAAGCAGCACCCTTAACATGAGTGAAGCCGTGAAGGGATTCCTGGTGAAGTGCTGTGCCTACAATTCCCTTGGCACATCTTGTGAAACAATCCTTTTAAACTCGTCAGGTAGACAGCAGTCGCTATTGTAATGTACCACCTCCAGGAATTCCCCACTAGAAGGCCATCCCTGTCGTTGGCTTTTATTTGGGGAATTTCACCAGAGCACATAGGTTCGGTGTGTGAGACAAGAAGGCTTTTTGAGTCAAGCAAGAATCCCCACTGAACATATGCTATTTTGTAATTCAGGGGCAGAATGACTTCTCCCTACGTGAGTGTGACTCACGCGTTACAGTGATGAAGGTAGAACCATAAACCCCAAGAACAGGAAGTTTCTACCGAAAGATTTAACTCCAGAGAAACTGATTTAGTAATTGGAGTCCCTACCATTTTACCTCTTGGTTGATCTCCTTCTGTTCCTTTAGCCTGCTGTTTTATACTTTTGAGTTTGTTTTTTTAGAACCCTCCTAATTTAAACAAGCCTGAAACCTGCCCGCCTACACTGAGAGTTGAGAATCACCAGCATCCCAAAACTAACTTCCCATTCATATGATACCTTCATCGGGAGAGCACAGAATTCTTTTTTTTTTTAATCTGACTTATATATCCCATGGTATTAACTAGGTGTCATTTGTATAACCCTAGGAAGTGATTTGTAAAAATGGGGTCAAAATCATTCAAAATGTTCTAGAAAGGGAACTTGTCCTTTAGATGAACATTGCCTGATTTTCTGTGGGGAGATGAGTATCTGTCAAGTGCTTGTAAGGACTGCAAATGATGGTTTCTCAAATGGGAGGTGAGAGACGATAATAAGATTCTACTCCATCAACCAGGAACACAGGTTCATTGCTCGGTGACACTCTTGCCTTGCAGGGCCCTTCCCTTTCATCCAAGACAACATCTCCTTCTATGCAACAGTCGGGCTTTGTCTTCCCTTCATTGCTGTTCTAACCATGCTCATTTGTCACAAGTACAAAAAGGTAAAAGCAAAGGTGAAAATTCATCCCTGTTTCCCATTTCTAAGGGCCTGCCTGTTGCTAATTGGCCCATTATTTCATCTCTGAAGCAATTTAGGTATGAGAGCCAGTTGCAAATGGTACATGTGACCGGCTCTTTGGAAAACGAGTACTTCTACGTTGATTTCAGAGAATATGAATATGATCTCAAATGGGAGTTTCCAAGAGAAAATTTAGAATTTGGTAAGAATTGAATAGTCCCAGTGTTTCTGTAGCATTTGCTTTCTATTGGAAAACCTCTAACATGCCCTCACTCACCATTTGTCTTGCAGGGAAGGTGCTGGGATCAGGTGCTTTCGGAAAAGTGATGAATGCAACAGCTTACGGAATCAGTAAAACTGGAGTCTCAATCCAGGTGGCAGTCAAAATGCTGAAAGGTACAGTAAAGCGGGGCGCCTGGGTGGCTCAGTCGGTTAAGTGTCTGCCTTTGGCTCAGGTCGTGATCCCAGCGTGGGGCTTCCTGCTCGGCAGGGACCCTGCTTCTCCCTCTCCTCCCTGCTTGTGCTCTCTGTGGCTATCTCTGTCTCTCTCTCTCTCAAATAAATAAAATCTTTTTATTTATTTATTTAAGATTTTTATTTATTTATTTGACAGAGAGAGAGATAGCGAGAGCAGGAACACAAGCAGGGGGGAGTGGGAGAGGGAGAAGCAGGCTTCCTGCCGAGCAGGGAGCCCGATGCAGGACTCGATCCCAGGACCCTGGGATCATGACCTGAGCCGAAGGCAGACGCTTAACGACTGAGCCACCCAGGCACCCTAAAATCTTTTTTTTTTTAAAGATTTATTTATTTATTTGACAGAGAGAAAGAACAAGTAGGCAGAGTGGCAGGCAGAGGGAGAGGGAGAAGCAGGCTCTCCGCTGAGCAGGGAGCCAGACGTGGGGCTCAATCCCAGGACCCTGGGATCATGACCCGAGCCGAAGGCAGACGCTCAACTGACTGAGCCATGCAGGCACCCCAAATAAGTAAAATCTTTTTTTTTTTTTTTTTTTTTTTTTTTTTTTTTTTTAAAGATTTTATTTATTTATTTGTGAGAGAGAGAATGAGAGAGAGCACATGAGAGGGGGGAGGGTCAGAGGGAGAAGCAGACCCCCTGCTGAGCAAGGAGCCCGATGCGGGACTCGATCCCGGGACTCCAGGATCATGACCTGAGCCGAAGGCAGTCGCTTAACCGACTGAGCCACCCAGGCGCCCATAAGTAAAATCTTAAAAAAAAAAAAAAGTACAAGTGCAATGATGTCCACAATGATGCACAAAAATGGGAAGCATGGTCTCCTGCCTCCTCGTTTACTCTTTTCCATCATTTTTATGGTTGCTGCTTGCCATGCTTCAAGGTTAAAAGGGGACTGAGTTGAGGTTCGGGTCGACCAAGTCGTGAATATAAAATACAAGTCATGAACGCAAAACTCCATCTCTTCTTCCTCTTCTGGTTTTGTTGAGTGTTTTCAGCTTCAGTATTAGGGGGTACTGTTACTACAGGCAAATGTTGTTTCTCACATTTTGACACAGACCCTGGGTAGAAGAACAAATTGAAGCCCTCTGTATTCTCACTTCCCACTCGTGGCTTCATTACCTCCCACCTAGCCTCCACCGCCATCCCTCCCCTTAGCATCACTCACTCAGCCAGAGCGCCCCAGTTGGCTTTTGCTCAGGGGATCAGCAACCTCCAACAAACCAAGTCTAGTGGGCATCTTTTAGTCTTCATGCTGCTTGACTTTTCAGCATAGATTGGCACCATTGACTGTTTTCTCCTTTAAACCCTTTCTTCCTCTGGTTTCCAGGTCACCATATTCTTTTGTTTTTCCTCCTGCCTCTCTGCCTGCTTCACAGTCCTCTGCTGGCTCCTCATCTTCTACCCGGCTTTTTATGTGGGGTTCCTGAAGGCTTGCTCCTGGGCCTCCTTCCCTTTTCACTCCACACGCTCTCCACAGGCTATGCCAACAACACCCATGCCTTCGTCCCGTGTACCAATGGTTCTCACAGTTGTGCCTCCCTTCCGAGCCTCAGGTTATGTCCAAATGCTTGGGTATCTCCAAAGTTTCCCTAATTCAGACTGAACTCCTCCAACCCTGGCCCTCCAACAACGCTCCCTGTCTGTGATTGGTTACGAGTACCAGTGACTCGCCACATTCCCCACAGTCAGGTGAACCAGAAACCGCCTTCATTCCAGCCCCCTGCAAGCCATCCCTGTCAGGTTCCCTGCTTGGTGTTCCTTGAATCCATCCTCTCCTCATCTCTAGTCCGAATCTATCTCTCCTGAACGAACGGCTGCAGTAGCCTTCCAGGCAGGGATCCTTATGCACTCTTACCTCCTTTAGGATTCTCTATATTGAAGCCCCAAGTGACGACAATGAAAGGCAAAGCGGATCATTTTCCTACTTAATGTTGCCAGGTGCTTTTGATCACTCCCGAAGTAGTGTCCACAGCCCTGCGCGATCGGGCTGCCCACCTTCCCGTCTCGCACTCAGCACACTGGCCTTCTTTCAGTTCCTCCAGAACACCATGCTCCCTCCCATCCCAGGGCCTTTGTACAGACCCATCCCTCTGCTCACCCTTCCCCTTTCATGCAGTTCTCTCCCACTCCTCCTTTAGATCTCAGCACAAATATCACTTCCCCCAGGAAAGCCTTCTCTCACACCGCAGAAGAGATCAAGTTCCGTGCCGTATGCTCTGCTTAGCTCTCCGTAGGCTTCTTTCCCATGCAATTTATTGCAGTTTTAGGGACATATTTGCTTAATTATCCTATTCATGTCTCATCTGCCACATTAGTCTGTAAGCCTCACGAGGACAAGGGTTGTATCTGTTTACTGTGTTTTCTGTATTTTGATCTTTGCCCAATCTATTACTTCAGTACAGAATGTTCTCCCTCCCTCCCCACTGTAAATTCACCTGGTGAACTCTTATTTTTCCTCAGGTCTCAGCACATGCATTTGGCGTTCCCTTCCATACCTCCCCACGGCTAGGTTAGGTGTCCCTCTTGTGTGACCCCACAGCACCCGCTCCATTCATTTGCCACTTTGCATTTATCACACTAGGTTCTAATTGTTTATCTACTTGTCTTCCTTTTCCAGGAGACTCTAAACTCCAGGAAGACAAGGGCTGTGTCTTGTCTATCTTTCAGCCCCATTGCTTGGCACATTGCCTCATACACTGTAGACATTCAATAAATACTTGTTCAGTGAAAGAATGGGTAAGAATAAATGAAAGTCAGGTAATGAAAGTGCTTTGAAAAAGTTAAGTACACCATAAAATATATTACTGGGTTGTGAGGAACAAGACATGGACATTTGAAAGCCATGGACCCCTATAAAACATGAAACAGCAGAAGACATGACCCATATTAGTGGGTCATAGTGCTCACGGTGAAGAATCTCACTCCCATGCCAAGATGTTGGTAGAAAGGATATGCCCAAGAGCTCACTAAATCAAAATAGATGGCATCAGTGATCTGAAAAAGTTAGCATAAAGGCTAGGTGTCTTCCAAGACAAAATAATGACACCTGGAAATATCAAATCAAATCTTCATTGAATGTAAAGAAAAATTACTATGTCTGTAAGAAAGAATACATTAACAGAGGAGAGGGTGCCTGGTGCCTAGGGCTCCAGCACCCTCCTGGGCTGGAGTGCCCCAATCACCTGGGCACCTCACTCTCCGTGACATGAGACCTTTGAATTTATCAATAACTACCGTCATGCTATGCATCTAAGCAAGATTATGAGTACAATTTGCCAAGCTATCTAGACTTATCTTCAGGGAGAGAATGCATTAGCCAATGGATACATTCTAGCCTATTCTGCAGTTATGTTTCTCATGATCAATTAGTGAGTCTCTTGAGAACTTGGTTAGTGGGAATTGGTCTCTTTGACCTTCTCACCATTGGACCCATTGACAAATTTAAGATTTTAAATCTGAGGACCATAGGCTGGAGCCAACCTTGCTAACATTCCTATCTTGTCTCTCTGTGTCCAACAAATCCAAGAGTCAAAAAAAAAGTTATGTTTTTCCCTTCAGTATATTTATTAACTTCTACCAAGGAGGAAAAATCATGCATTTTGTTTTGTTTTATTTTGTTTTTTGAGGATCAATATAAAGATTTTTATTTTGGTAAGTAGAGGAATGTCCAGTAGAAAGGCACATTATCAGACTAAACTTTTATACTGCAATCGTTGAAATTCTGTCTTAAACACAAGATATTATTATTCAAAATTCATGAATTATTTTATGCATTTTAAAATTTTCATGCAAATCTGCTCTGAACTGAAGAAAGTTTTAATTTATTAAACGATCTAAAATACCTATTTTGCTTCAGTTTTATATTTTTTTATGCTTTTCCATTGACAGAAAAGGCAGACAGTTCTGAAAGAGAGGCTCTCATGTCCGAACTCAAAATGATGACTCACCTGGGAAACCACGAGAATATCGTGAATCTGCTGGGGGCATGCACGCTGTCAGGTAATCAATTCCTGCTAAAAACATCTCATCAAAAATATTTTAGCCAGAAGACAAAGAGGACATTTGTCCTCAATTTTTCCTCTTTCCTCAGTCATAGCACGGGCCCTCAAACCCGAGCAGAGTTAAGACAGTGAGCACTCCGAAATCAGATGGGTCAGTGTAGAGAATGCCTCTCTGGACCGGGATATGCCACATAATTCTAACCTGCTTAAAAACAACAACAGCACTGCAGGTACACTTTGTGGTGGTATCTCATTCTACCTGCTCAGAGGGAGCTTCTCCCCAGCCTGTGAAGCTGGCCTCCATGCAGTGGGGACAATGGCCGCAGAGCTTGGCCATTGCCCAGTTTGGGCTGCTTCGAATAAGGCACAGCGAAGGCGGGATTTCAAACTTCATTTTCCCAGCACTCAGTGGAGCATGCGCTCTGATTCACTTCTGCCTAGAAGTACCGGAAAGACGTGCTCGCGGGTCATTCCTTCTGGGACGGGGTCAAGAAAGAAGAGAACAAGAGCAAATAGATCTAGGAGGCTGCTCGTGACCTGTATCTCCCTCCTCAGGCAAACAACAGATGGGCATAGATTTGCCAAGTGCTCACAACGCAGTTGGCATATTACTCCTGGTTAGTTGCAAACTGGAGAATCCAAGTGGCTGGGGGTTATTGGTGAGGCAATGGACAACAAGGGCCCAAATGGAAAGCAGAAAGAGACTGCTTTCCAAAGGAGTTAGAGCCAAAAGCCAAAATTGAGTTTAAAGTATAAGAAGAGATAAAATCAGAAAAAGTTGTACTCTCCCCAAGTCAGGGCAAAAGTAGGTTCTCGTAGATGATGTCGTCTGCCACACAGACATCTGAGAGAATTATTTGGAATTTGTATACCTATAATGAAAATTCTATTTCAGGACCAATTTACTTGATTTTTGAATATTGTTGTTATGGTGATCTTCTCAACTATCTGAGAAATAAAAGAGAAAAATTTCACAGGACATGGACAGAGATTTTCAAGGAACACAATTTCAGTTTTTACCCCACTTTCCAATCACACCCAAACTCCAGGTAAGAGAAGTGGGCCAGGGTTTCACAATGATACGTTACAGAACACAGCCCCCGTATGATGGTTAAACACCCCACACTGGCGGGTCTCTGAAAGCCAGAGTCCAGCATTGTGTGGTCTATGGGCTCTAAGATCTAGAAAGGTCACTTATCTTTTTTTTTTTTTTAAAGATTTTATTTATTCATTTGAGACACAGAGATACAGAGAGAGAGAGAGAGAGCATGAGCAGGGAGAGAGGCAGAGGGAGAGGGAGAAGCAGGCTCCCCACTGAGCCAGGAGCCCGACGCGGGCTTGATCCCAGGACCCTGGGATCACGACCTGAGCCGAAGGCAGACGCTCAACCATCTGAGCCACCCAGGCGCCCTGAAAGGTCACTTATCTTTGTTCTAGTTTCTCTGCTGATGTGGAACAATGAGACCTTCGCTTTCCTATGGTACAGGGGCTGTAGCTGTCTCCGTCCACCTGTGCCTGAATCACACACACACTCTGGACACATACTCAGTTTTGGGAAGAGTGCATTATTCAGTCTTTCACCTCTCCTGGATGACACGTAGGAATTAGTAGAAAGAATGAACACTTTTCCCAAAGTCCTTGACATATTCGTAGAGAGTAGTTCAGGTCTTGGGAGTTTGATGCAAAAGAGCTCTGAACTCATAAATTGGATTTTCAAAAATTAGAATGGATCAGTTGACATAATGTGATGGAGACGAAATTAAGTAGCGGTAACATTTGTCTCTATGCTCTGTGTTGTATATTCTGCCATCCATGGGGAGCCTGAGTGATTCTCAGTCCAGTTAGGATTTTTTGTTTTAGCATGCATAAATGAGGGCTGTAGGAGTTTGGTGGGATGCTCCTCTTCATCCCTGGGAATTTCTTGCTAATTACTTAAACATCATATAACACCTATCTCTGAATGAATTCACAGGCATTCTTAATAGAATGATTCCTCGATCCACAGTGTCTTCCTATTTCCTCCACACATGTGAAAACTCTCCCTTATCCTCAAAGCAGGTCTTTAGAAACTTTTGTCTTTACCGAGGGACTTTCGGAGGGTGCGCTTGAGATTCCAGCCTTGTTTTTCTTAGCGTGTAGGTTTCAGTGCAGGCCTTTGGCCTTCTGAGTTCTGAGACAGAGACCTAGCATCTTAAAGCTGGGAGGCCCCTTGGAGATCCCCATGGGTGTCTTTGTGTGGTTGCCCATAACCAGTTCACGCCTGTCACACCAGTCTTGTCTTTCACACTTGTTTCTTAGCTCATATTCTAAAACTGAGAAAATTCTGCAGTGTCATCTGTATTCTAGAATAGAGTCTCTTAATGAGTCAGATGGTATGATCCGCACTCCACGGTCAGCAACAACTAATGCTGGTCAACTGGGCCTTTGATTCATTCTAGTCACTGGAGTATTAAATACACTGAAGCGACGCAGGAATATTTGTGGTCTGCAAGCATAAAGTCATTTTCCAAAGATATGGAAATTGTAAATTGGGATGAATTTGTATGCTGGAATATATGGAATCATTGTCTGTATATAATGCACACAGAATTCCTCAGTGAAGAATTTTATGTAATACACCACAAGAGAGTTTCGTTATTACTGTTTATTAATTTCACAGGAAAAGGAAATGCACTTTATTTACAAAGACCAACTTGAGAAAAGAAGGATGTTAAAACGACAGGTCTTTGTAGAAGATCTGTATTACAGGAGCTTTCATAGGGAAAGTGGGCTTTTAGAAACAAAAGAGGTGTGAGTCCTAATTGTACATTTTGTTAGCTTCATGATTTCAGCAAATCACATTTATCTCACCAAGTGTTTTATAAAATGTGACTCTGACACCCAGCTTGTCGAGTTGTGACAAGGACTGAGTGAGGTCCTGTTTGAACTGTGGGACCCTGTACAGATAATGGGGATCACTTCTGTCCTCGTTAGACTTGGCAAGCTCAATTCCACACATGTTTTTAATGTCCACACACGCAAAAAAATGGACAAGTGGATGCTGTGCTTTTAATCTGAAAGCCCATTTGTAACTAGAATTCATTTCTTTGATTAATTGTATTTTTTTAAATGTCTACTCAGAAGAAGAACATAAATAACAAAATAATTTTTTTAATAGTATGCCTGGTTCAAGAGAAGTCCAGATACACCAGGACTTGGATCATATCTCAGGGTTCAATGGGAATTCATTTCAATCCGAAGGTAATATTTTATTCTAATTAGTAGCACCTTAAAATAGAAACAGATACAGGAATTCTGTTAGTTGTTTTTTTAAAAAGTGTGTCAATGCAAAGCATGTTTTTCTTTGCTAATGTCCCCTGAAGGCTGTATTAATGCATATTTGCTTTAAAGGTAGTGAAAAGCCAACAGTTTACGTATTGTGTATTTGATGTCAGCATGCAGCTAATAAACACAGAGGGCTGTTTTATTTAGTCAGGTTGTTCTTTTTAAAATCATAAATTAATTAGAGCCATCGATTACTGACAAGTGGAAAAATGATGAGTTCTGGAATCAGACAGAAGTTGGGTTAACCTTGGGTACCTTCACTTTCTGGCTGGAAGACTTTGGACAATTTATGTAACCATCTGAGCCACAATTTTGTCATCTGTGAAATGGGCCCAATAGTACTTTCGTCATCGAAAGTACCATCGGAAGGATTAAATGGAAGTACAGTAAGTGCCCAGTGCAGTTCACGAAATGTGGTGGTGCAATGCTAATTCTTTCCCATGTGACAAAACTACCTTGCACAAAAGAGGAGGATCAGAAGCTCCTGACTGATCAGAAGGCTGTTTGTCACCAAAGCAGCTGGAGAGGTTACTCCTCTAACCAAAAGGAATCTTTGGCTGACCCTTCAGAAGCCCCACAGGTTTAGCATGAATGGGGTAGCCCCAGTGCTGGGGAGCTTCCTTTGTAGTCTGGGCATCCCTCCCCACTATGGCTTTGATAACCTCCCCCTGGGGATGTAATGGGGCAACTTCTTAGACCTGTGGCCAGCAACTGACCAGCAACTGACCAGTTTTGTTTTACAGATGAAATTGAATATGAAAACCAAAAAAGGCTGGAGGAAGAAGAGGACTTAAACGTGCTGACATTTGAAGACCTTCTTTGCTTTGCTTATCAAGTTGCCAAAGGAATGGAATTTCTGGAATTTAAGTCGGTAAGCCCCTTTTGAAGGAGACACTAACAGCAACAAGATAATTTTTGAAATGAGATGTGCTTTCCTTTTTCTTATTTCAACGTGTATCCCTTAAAGTCCGTCTCCCCCGCCATCCACCACGCCCTTCACTGTTGGAGCTATGTAGAAGGTTCATTACAGCAGCTGTGGGTGAATTACAGGGGCAGTGCCTGTGATCCCTTATTAGATAATGGTTATCGAAGCCCTCCTGGGCGGTCCAAAGTCCCCTGAGACTTCCAGCTAGGAAGTCAAAGCGAGGCGTACAGCGTCAGTCCTTCCTGGGACAGTCAGTCCAGGTGGACAGTCAGTCCACAGTCAAGGCTGTGCCCTGCGCATGGGCATTTGACCCCGGGTAAGCGAGGCCTCCAACACAGCATGCTGGGCTTGCCAGAATCCTGGTGTGGTGGGCTAGCAGGATCCTGGTGCACCTGCTGCCTCCTCTGATGCTCATCCCAGACTTACAGGACGTTGATGTGAGGGTCGTGGAGTCTGCCTCAAACCCTGGTTTCTACCTCAGTTTTGCATTCTTTCTGTAATTGTCTCTCAGCCCTGTTCTCGGACATTTCAAGCATCTCTTACCTGTGAGCAGATGGAAGTCACTTCTCTGGTTGCTTTCTGTCTGCACCATCTTATGTTCTGTTACCTTTTGTGTATTTCCCAAACTCTTCCCTCCTCTTTTCCCTTTGAATCTTTGCTTCTCTTTCTCCCTCTTTCCTCCAGGTCCCTCCTCTCTCCTCGTTCTCTTTGAATTTGGAGAGAATCATTTCAACTGTATTTTTTTTCCTTAAAAAAATGACTTTCTCTGATATATTGTCATAGGTCAGGTATATCTCAATTTAAAAAAAGATTAACATGAAATAAATCAACAGCTTTGAAGAACAGAAAAAAATGATGTTCACAATAGCAACCAAACCTGGGAAGCATCTTGAGATAAACCCAAGAAATATACGAGACGCACACGAAACATCATTAAATGGCAAAAAGGAGGCCTGAATAAATGAACTCTACCACGTTCATGTAGGAGAGATTCAGGGTTTATTAGAAAAGCCAATTCTGTCCAAGTTAATCTGTATGTTTCGCACAACTCCAGTTAGAATCTCAGTGGTTTTTTTTTTTTTCCCTCATGGATGTTGGAAGTGCATGTTGCCTTCTTTGCTTTTCTTTTTCCAAATGTGGGCATCCTTGCTCACTAGTTAAAAAAAAATTCCTGTCTCTTAATATTTTCCCACCCCTCATCTCTGGGACATACTCTTTTTTTTTTTAAATTCAATTAATTAACATATAATGTATTATTGGTTTCAGAGGTAGAGGTCAGTGATTCATCAGTTGTATATAATCCCCAGGCTCATTACATCACATATCCTCCCCAATGTCCACCACCCAGTTACCCCATCCCTCCCACCCTCCTCCCCTCCAGCAATCCTCAGTTTGTTTCCTATAGTTAAGAGTCTCTTATGGTTTGTCTCCCTCTCTGATTTCGTCTTGTTTTATTTTTTCCTGTCTTCCCCTATGCTCCTCTGTTTTGCTTCTTAAATTCCTCATATCAGTGAGATCATATGATACATGTCTTTCTCTGGTGGACTTATTTCACTTAGCACAATACCCTCCAGTTCCATCCACGTCGCTGCAAATGGCAAGATTTCATTTTTTGATGGCTGAATAGTATTCCACTGTATATATATGCCACATCTTTTTTATCCATTCATCTGTCTGAGGCACGTTCTTCTCCTCATCTTCCCTGCCTGCTGTTGGATTCCTCTTTTCTCCAGTGTATCTATAGTTGCTTTAACTAGAGTTCACCTACTTGGCTACAGTAGTGCTTGTGTATCTTTATAGATCTTGGAGGGCCTCCACCTCGATCATCTGGCCTGGTTTGCTGCCTGTCTTGAAGTAAATATGCAAACTACTCACAACTGGAGGTCAAGGGGCACTGCTTTTTTACTCTCTGGGCTTGTTATAAAAAGAACTTTTTTGAGGAATATCCAGTTTCTTAGACCCTCTCGCCTTGTTTTCCCTTGAGGCCCTATCCTCTACACCATGATGTCACTGTCTCCGTTTGTCTTTTCCCCCTACTTCTCTGGTCGCTCCTTACTTTCCCCGTAGCCTCCGTGACTCCATCCAGCGTTACTCGAGCACTGGCTAGGTGCTATCACTGACAGGGGAGAAAGAGACAAGTAGACACGCAAATCAAAGATGACACTGTAGTGTGGTAAATACTCGTGTTCACGTAAGCTCTGGGAACCCAGGAAAGACACACACACATATCAGAACCAGGGGTGGGGAACGGTGCAGAAAAGGCTTGGGGAAGGAGCTCGTGCTTCGGCTAGAGGAGATTTCTGAGGAAAAGGAAAACCAGCAGGGAACATGGGATAGGGCAGGGAACACGAAGTCGGGAGGAAGTCAGTTGAGAAAGGTCATGAGTTAAATGTGTAGCATGTGGTTCCCGGGGCAGTAGAGTAGGGCCTAGCCCAGCAGATATTCCTATCTGAAGCTCAAGAGAAATGTTCGGGTTGGAAACAGAGGTTGGGTGGTGGTAGTTGCATCCCTCGGTTTGGACGAAGTGGCTCGGGAGGATGCGGACCGAGAGGGTGCGGCCCTGGGGAATGAGAGCAGGCTTGCATGGAGGCCCAGGAGGAAACAGCTTCCACCAGGCAGTAGGAAGAAAACAGGGGCCAGTGATGTGCTGAATTCACAGAAGGAGGGACCTGAAGGAGGAGGGGCTGGCCCGGCAGTACCAGGTGCCACCAGGAGGCCAAATCCCATCTCAACTGGATTGGTGCCGTGCACATCACTGCGGGGCTTAGCCCAGGCAGCTGGGGCAGACATCTGCAGGAGGAAGGCAGGGTGCAGGGGGCCAGTAGTAAAGGGGGTGAAGTGTAAATGGAGTCTACAGGCAGCGGGCAACACTCTCAGAAAACTGGAGAGGGAGGAAGGAGAGCTGCCTGGTTTTTGCTTTTATTTTTCAAGATTGAATAGAGTCCTTTGGACCTTTAGCTCCTAGTGCTCTATTCCTTTGATTATCTTCCTTCTCAGAGTTTATTCTCTTGCCAGACCACTCAGATTCATGTCATGTCCTCTGTCCATCCAGGGGCTCCTAATTCCACTTTAGTCAACCTTCCCAAACTTATTTTTTGTTTTTTTCCAAATATTTTCTTTGATCGTACTCTCATTGCCAAAGTTGTTTTCCAGTCAGAAAAGAGATAATTTTCTCCCCCCACTGGACAAGAGCCTCCCAAAGTCCCTTTGGGCGGGAGCTCAACACTGGGCCCTGGTATTGTGTCTTTTATTTATAGGAAGACACAACACCCAGCCAGGTTTGATCTCCTTTCTAAGAACCCATCCTCTTGGCCTCCGGGAATGTTCCATAAGCAGCACAAATGACTGCATCTACAACAGCTGAAGAATTGGGCCATCTGCATTCCCTCTGTGTGCCGCACGTCACGCGTGATGACTGTCGGTGGCCCAGTAAAGATAAGACACCTCGATGAACTGCACTTTGCTGTCATCTGTAACTCCTGCTGAACTTGAAACTGGAAGCAAAATTGTACTCTGTGATAATCTCCGTCAGAGTAAATAACACTCCAATTTCGTTCTTTGTAGTGTGTTCACAGAGACCTGGCAGCCAGGAACGTGCTCGTGACCCATGGGAAAGTGGTGAAGATCTGTGATTTTGGACTGGCCCGGGATATTATGAGTGACACCAACTATGTTATCAGGGGCAACGTGAGGCTGCTATTTCTTACCTATTTTTATGCTGTTATTTTGTGTTTTGTTATTGGGATGGTAGACATCCGCATTCACTGTAGCGCCGGTTTGATTCCAGAAACTTCCTCACTGCAGTCAGCTTTCTTATGTTTAAAAGCTTTTTCTGTAGCTTCAGGGAATATTCCAGTTATAATAAAACCTGAGCAACGTAGCATCACATCTATCCTTGGGCGAGTCAGAACAGACCAGTTAGGGACCTTGGAGTACAATCGACACTTAAAAGACACTCATTACTTGAACTTACTTCAGTTCCCTTAGCTATAATGCAACCAGCGTCATGTTTCCAGGTATGGGAATTTGGCAGTCGCTACAATAAAGCATTTTTTTTTAAAGATTTTATTTATTTATTTGAGAGAGAGAGAATGAGAGAGCACATGGGAGGGTGGAGGGTCAGAGGGAGAAGCAGGCTCCCCGCCGAGCAGGGAGCCCGATGCGGGACTCGATCCCGGGACTCCAGGATCATGACCTGAGCCGAAGGCAGTCGCTTAACCAACTGAGCCACCCAGGCGCCCTGATAAAGCATTTTTTAAAGTACAACATATAAATTAAATATTAAATGTAAATTTTAAAAGGGCACAATATTTAAATTAAATATTAGCTAATGAATATTTAGCATCTTATTACTGTCACACAGGGAAACCTAAAATATGACAAAATCTACTTGTTAAAAAATTAAAAGGGGCGCCTGGGTGGCTCAGTTGGTTAAGCGACTGCCTTCTGCTCAGGTCATGATCCTGGAGTCCCGGGATCGAGTCCCGCATCGGGCTCCCTGCTCGGTGGGGGGTCTGCCTCTCCCTCTGACCCTCCCCCCTCTCATGCTCTCTGTCTCTCATTCTCTCTCGCTCAAATAAATAAATAAAATCTTTAAAAAAAAAATTAAAAGAACAAAAATAAAAACCCAACTAGGGACAGATAATGTTACTTAAGAACTATTGGAAATACTAGATGATAAAATTGTGTACTGGAGAGTGGCTTGTAAGAATCACACCACCTAAAGTTAAGCCCCTATTCTTTTCTGGAATTTTTCTGTGCTTTATTGTCCCCACTTGTGAAATAATAGTGGCACCAAGTACTGGGTTGGTGCTTCCCGGGTGCTAAGCACTATTCTTAGCGCTTTGCATATATTCATTCATTTAGTTCTCCAAGTGCCCAGTTGTGGGTGGGGAAACCGAGGCACAGAACCATAACTTGCCCACGATTACACAGCACGTGGACTAGAGCATGAATGGTCTGAGCCCCGAGCCTGTGCATAACCATTGTGACACGTGCAGCATTTCCCATGAGGACTGTCCGCTTATCTCATTGGTGTTGTTGTGGGAATAAACCAATAAAACCAACATGAAAGCACCTGTCTGGGGTAAACGGCCAATAAATGTTAAAAATCAAATTGAACACTGTTCCCATTAGAATCAAATAACCATCTCAGCTGATTTTAGATCTATACGTCACTCGTAGCTGAAATCGTAAAGATGATCAAAGCTCATGGGTGGCTGTGTGGTTTTTACCTTACTAGCTGGTGGTCTCTTATGTGGGAAGGTGAATTCCATTTGGCACTTCAATTAATTCCCTTAATTAATCAAATTAACCAGACTAGCCTGTTTGATTCTATCAGCTCATCGGTTTGTATAGGATTTAAAATAGGGTTTCTTTCTTGAGCTTTGATTTTTTTTTAATTTCCCTAAGTAATCTCCCAATGTGGGGCTGGAACTCACGACCCTGAGATCCCGAGTCACATGCTCTACCGATTGAGCCAGCCAGGTGCCCTTTGAGGTCTGATTTTACTTGGCAGATTTAACATGCACTGTGAAGGGCTCCTCACCTCATGAAAGAGAAAATGCTACAAAAAACTCTATCCCAGTAACCTATCTGCCCCTGTGTCTTGATTCTAATCTGAGGCTATACTAACTCTAAACCTGCCTTTCGTGTTACTGGAAATTATTCAAGCCACAGAAGCCAGCCTGGTGTCATTCCTGGAAGTGATGACATATACCCCCCTCACCACATTTTTGTAGCTGGCATTTCCACTAAAGTTTTTCCAAGAAATGCTTTTACAAAATATCCCACTAATTTACCAGTATCTACGTACCTCTGGGCAACGGACTAATTACTCCTTAATGGGAATTATCCACTGTTAAACTTACCCATTCCAAGCACAAAGCTTCGTTCAAGATGAGTTTTAAAGAGATGGCCAGCTGTGGGACACCTAGGTGGCTCAGTGGGTTGGGCATCTGACTCTTGATTTCGGCTCAGGTCATGATCTTGGGGTCATGAGATGGACCCTGTGCTGAGTGTGTCGGGCTCTGCGCTGAGTGTGGAGCCTGCTTAAGATTCTCCCTCTCCCGGTTCTAGAGGGGAGGGGGGCGGGAGGATGGGTTAGCCTGGTGATGGGTATTGAGGAGGGCACGTTCTGCATGGAGCACTGGGTGTTATGCACAAACAATGAATCATGGAACACTTCATCTAAAACTAATGAAGTAATGTATGGGGATTAACATAAGAATAAAAAAAATAAAAATAAAAGAGCAAACCAAAGCAAAACAACAAAGCAAAAAAAAAAAAAAAAAGATTCTCCCTCTCCCTCTGCCTCCCACCCCCGCCCCCGCTTGCATGCATGTGCTCTCTCTCAAAAAAAAAGAAAGCCGGTTAGGTTGGTTTTTTGTTTGTTTGGGTTTTTTGTTTTGTTTTCTTTTTGTAAGGCTGTTATGTTAGAATATTGATTTAAAAGTGAAAACCTTCCACTTGAGGAATATGATTTTCTCCATTAAGCCTTAAGAGTGGCTTTAGGAAGGCAAGAAATTTTATCATCTAGCTAGTAAGAGAAAAGAAAATACTCTTCACCATTCAGTCACTTCACCATTGATCACCACTGATCTCCTCCTGGACTCCGCACAGGCTCGTCTGCCTGTAAAGTGGATGGCTCCTGAAAGCTTATTTGAAGGGATCTACACCATAAAGAGTGACGTCTGGTCATATGGAATATTACTCTGGGAGATATTCTCACTCGGTAAGTTTTGCACGTTGCTGCCATCCCTTGCCCCCTCCACGCCTCACCCCCATTCCTAAATCAAAGCGTGCATGACATGCCACCTCTAATGCTCCCAAGAGCTCGCTAGTCTCACACCTGTGTCACTTCATGTTTTACTGCCGTGTCTTCCCCACCGGCCTACACCCGCGTGAGAGGAGGAGCCACAACTTCCCCCGCTTTCAGCCTCGCGCCAAGCAGTGTCTGGCCCGTGGGAGCTCTCGGTGCATGCTTGTTAATCGAGTGAATAAAGAAACAGATGAAATAGTTTATCCTCCCTAATGTCGTCCTCAGGTGTCAATCCTTACCCTGGTATTCCGGTCGACGCTAACTTCTATAAACTCATTCAAAGTGGATTTAAGATGGATCAGCCATTTTATGCTACGGAAGAAATGTAAGTTCAAACCAGACTGCACGGTGGCTGAAATCAGGAATTTACAGTCCTCTCTAGTTCCAAATGCATGTCAAAAAAAAAAAAAAAAAAGTAAAACTCCTTAATGCAAAATTCATGATTCCTCTTTAAAAAAAAAAAACAAAAAGACAAAAAAAAAAGGAAACTCTTCCTTTTTCTTTTGGGGATTTCTGGACAAAACTGAAGATACTGTGAATTAGGGGCTTCAGTTCTTTTGAGGGTGAGAAGACTCCATCTCCTAGTTTCTGGTCCACAAAATGCATTTCTGTCCGTCATCTAATTTGCCCTTTCTGGTGTGAGTTCAAAGTCTAGTAGAGTACTTGCCACAAAACAAACAGGCGATACATGGTGAGTAGCTCCCCAGCAAGAAATGGTGGGAAATGATCAGCTTTTCTTTATTCGGATTTCCTCAGCTTACTCCTCTTCTCTTGCTTTTACAGATACTTTATAATGCAATCCTGCTGGGCTTTTGACTCAAGGAAACGGCCGTCCTTCCCCAATCTAACTTCATTTTTGGGATGTCAGCTGGCAGATGCAGAAGAAGCGGTACGTAGCTGCGTAGTACTTTATAAAAGACTATTAGAAAGGAAAGCAATAACTCAGAACACGCACTGATTTCCTAAGAGTCAAAGTTGAACGGTGTCTTTCTCAGCAGTTTGTCTGGTTGCCCTTTGAAAGTTATATGGGGTGAGATATATTTACTGGTAAGTGTTTTTTGGGGGGGGAAGCTTTCCCTAAAGTTTTCAGCCGATTGATTAAGAAATTAAATGCTTTTAAGTGTCCAGTGCATAGGACTAGATGACTAAACAAAACTTAATCCCTGGCCGCCACTGACCTTTCCTAATTCAACATGAAGCTTTAGTATGGAATAATCACACAACCCAGTCATACAATACAGCAGAGTGGAAAGAACATTGACCTGGAGTCATGAGAATCTAATCCCACCTCTAGCACTCTAGCTCCTCATCGCTGTATGAATTATGGCAAATCACTTTACTTCTCTGGGCCTTAGTTTTCGCACCTGTAAAATGGCTTGCCAAGGTAGGTGATCCCCCTAATCACTTTGTCTTTAACTGTATGTGAGACTCCAGTAATGTTGTCTGAGACTTTTGCTTTGTGGGTCTGTCTTTCCCATCAGCAGACTTGGTTCATGAGGGCAAGCAAATGCACTGCTCCTCTTCACATCACCTGATGCAGTCCCATGGGCAGGAGACACTCACTGGTCATTAAATAAATGAGTGCCTGTCAGCACGAGGGTACGTCAGAGGTCACATCCGTTTTGTTCACCATTACATACCCAGTGGCTGGCATAATGCTTAGTGTATGGAAAGTGCTAAGGAAATATTTCTGGAAGGAAGGAAGGTAGGCAGGCAGGCAGGCAGGCAGGCATAAAAGTAAATTTGAGAAAGCAAAAGCCTAATGGCAGAAGTAAGGACATCAGTTAAGAGGTGACTGTGGCAGCAGAGGTGAGCAAAAATGAGGGGGTGAACTAGACGGTGGGGGGAAGGGACACACACAGTTCCTGTTTCAGGAAAGCGGCCTGAACTCACATCACCTCTCCTCTCATGTCCGTGCCCACAAATCATAGGAAATATATACATAAAATATAAATATATTATCAATATATCATGTATTTATATATACTATATTATAAATAAATACAATACAAATATAAAATAAATGTAATATAAATATAAATAAATGTAATATAAATATAAATAAATATAAATATAAAAAAATGGGATGCCTGGATGGCTGAATCAGTTAAGCGTCTGCCTTCAGCTCAGGTCATGATCCCAGAGTCGGGCTCCCTGCTCAGCGGGAAATCTGCTTCTCCCTCTCCCTTTGCCCCTCCCCCACTTGTGTTCTCTCTCTCGATCTCTCTCTTTCTCAAATAAATATATAAAATCTTTAAAAAATGAAATAAATATTAAAAATACATAAATACATATATACACACACATATATATTTTTTATTATATTTTTTTAAAGAAGTGAGGCCATAATTGCCTTTGAAAGCCAGAAGGAGGTCTTTGTGGACCAGAAACAGTGGAAAACCCCTGAGACAATGAAAGCAGTTAGGGCTGAAGAGGGAAGACCCACAACAGAGGACTCTTTGAAAGAATAAAGACAAGTGCTTTCCTAGAAGTTAGGGAGAGGTCTGGTGGGATCCTGCAGAAGTTCCACAGTGGGACCAGCCACACTGTTAAATACACATAAGAATAACATGGGTGGGGCGCCTGGATGGCTCAGTCGTTGGGCGTCTGCCTTCGGCTCAGGTCATGATCCCAGGGTCCTGGGATCGAGTCCCACATCGGGCTCCCTCCTCGGGGGGAAGCCTGCTTCTCCCTCTCCCACTCCCGCTGCTTGTGTTCCCGCTCTCGTTGTCTCTGTCTCTGTCAAATAAATAAATGAAATCTTTAAAAAAAAAAAAAAAAAGAATAACATGGGTGTTAAAAATATAAGTATAACCACTGTGAAAATAGAAATATAATCTATAATCTCAGGTTCAGTGTAGAAGAAAAAAGGACCATAGAAAACCGGATCAACGCCACAAAATGGGGAAGAGAGAAACAAAGAGCATTCATGGAAATAGAAAAAGCTCAAAATGGCAGGATTCATAAGTCCACTTAAGAAACAGAATTTCAAAATAAATGAGACCATTATCACACAGATCACATTTACTAACCTCAGTGCAGTGGAATGAGAAATCACCAGTAACACCCGAAAAGCCCCCAGTGTCCTACATGAGAAATTGAAACTCATGCTTCTTACAGAAGCCTTTGGTTCACAAGAAGGAGGAGGAGGAAGGAAAAAGACATAAAAATAGACCCTGCTTATTAAAACCTGTAGGAGCCAGCCAAATTTATAACTCTAAATTCATTTATTAGAAAACAAAGAATGAGAATGAATGACTTAAACTTCCAACTCAAGAAGCTAAGAAAAAAAACAATGAATAAGGAGGAGGGAAGAGGAGGAAGAGAACGAATGAAGCAGAAGAAAAAAACTAATAGAGGGGAGCGTGGGTGGCTCAGTCCGTTGAGTGCCGGACTCCCGGTTTCAGCTCAGGTCGTGGTCTCGGGGTCCTGGAATCGAGCCCTTCATTGGGCTCCATGCTGAGCGTGGAGTCTGCCTGAGATTCTTTTCCTCTCTCTCTACCTCCCCCTCTCCCTCCTCCCCATGCTTGTGCGCGCTCTCTCTCTAAAATAAATAAGTAATAATAAAAGAAAAAGAAAAGAACTAGTAAAGATACAGGCAGAATTAATTAAACTGAGAGTAGCCTTCAAAACAAAATAATAGTGATGATCAGGAAACCTAAAAGTTGTTTTTTGAACTAATAGTGGTAATGATTTAATGGCTAACATCTTTTGAGTGTCTTGCACTCTACTAATATACTACCCATAATAACTCAATTAATTCTCACATCAATCTCAAGAAGTAAGTTCTATTACTACCTCTTTTGCAGATCAGTAAATTGAGATACAGAGAGGTTCAGTCGTTTGCCCAAGGTAACACAGTAAGTGTCAGACTTTGGATTTGAATACAATAGTCTGGATCTAGTTTACACTGTATATTAATATTGTATATTAATACAGTATACAAATATACCACTAACGCATACTAACTATGAAGAGAACAATTAAGAAAAAAGAGAAAGCACAAATGACATTCAGAATAAAAAGAACATAATTATGGATAGAGAAACCATTTTTAAAAAGTGTTAAGAAAATCTTACGCACCTCTTTCTGTTGATACACTTGAAAAGCTAGGGTTCCAAAATTTTTATAAGGAGAATGTACTCGTGTGTTACTTGTGCAGTTAAAAAATTCATTTTAAAATCACTTAAAGGGGTGAAGGGGAAGGGAAGTAGAGGCTTCTAGTTACAGAATGAAAAAGTCACGGGGATGAAAGGCACGGCACAGGGAATACAGACCATGATGCTGTGATGTGCCGTACGATGGGAGGTCCGCTTGTGGGGAGCACGGCATAATGTACAGACCTGTGGAATCACTATGTTGTGCATCTGAAACTGATGTAACATTGTTTCATCTATACGTCAATAAAACTAATTAATTACTTACATAAATAAAAATCACTTAAAGAAATGGACAGGAGGACATTAAAAGCAGTGACAGACCCGTCTCTGATTGGTCTCTGATTGGCTGTGGGAGTACAGCGAGCTTGAGGAGATGGTTCTGAAAGTTCTGGATCGTGGGCCTGGAGGCGGGGCGGTGCGCTAAGTGAAACTGTCAATACAAGAAGGAGAGAAGGTTTGGGAGATCAGAGATCATGGATTCAGGTGTGGAGCTGTTGGATTTGAAGTGTTACTGGTATTTCTGTCACAGCCTTCCTTAGATGGTTAGAAATTCAGTGCTGGAGATGTGCATTTGGTTCAACAGGTCATAACCAACTGCTAGGCCCGCTTTACAAAAACGATGTATCGTTACCTTTTCATCCTTAAGGGTTGAGGCTGACTGTTACTGTGAAGACCAGGTTCGAAAGGAGATTTTTGTCCGTTTTCCAGAAAGAAAAATTAAGCGGAGTTTATCAAGTGAACACAATAACTGACTATCACAGTAGTGAGGGGTGGGGAGAAGGAGGGAGTCTGTCAAACTCAACGTAAGATTGCACGATCCCAGGTGCCTGGGTGGCTCAGTGGGTTAAGCGTCTGCCTTCAGCTCAGGTCATGATCCTGGAGTCCCAGGATCGAGTCCTGCATTGGGCTCCTGCTCAGCAGGGAGTCTGCTTCTCCCTCTGCCCCTCACCCCACTCATGCTCTCACTCACTCTCTCTCTCAAATAAATAAATAAAATCTTAAAAAAAAAAAGAATGCACGATCCCTACATCACGAAGAGTTCTCATACATAATAAGAAAAACGTGGGTAGCCCAAGATAAAGGGCAAAGGAGAGAAGCAGCCTATTCACAATGAAGTGCAAATGTTCATCGAATATAGAAAAATATGTTCGACTTTTTGCTTATCATGAAACACGCAGGCAAGGAGATAAAACCTTTGCTGGACAAAGGGCTGGAGCCTTGAGCGGTAGTTAACACCCCTGCTGTCGGGCTCAGGAGAAAACAGTGTTGTTCCCAGACACAGCAGAGAGGAGCAGAAATAAGTAAAGGTTTTGGCAGGACAGCCTGGCGATGTACGTCCCCATTCAGATGTGCATCCACTTTGACCCAGCAATCCCATTGCCCCCATTCAGCCCAGAAACAGGCAGGGCCAGTGTGCACTTCTCAGTTTATGTTATAAAACCAGTCCATCAAAAGGTCAGTTATGGTGCATCTGTACTATGGAATGCTCGGCTACTATTAAAAAGATGAATGTGCTCATATTTATTTAAGAAGCAGACTCCCTGCTGAGCGGGGAGCCCGACGTGGGGCTCCATCCCAGGACCCTGGGATCAGGACCTGAGCTGAAGGCAGCCACTTAACCATCTGAGCCACCTAGGCACCCCGAATGTGCTTATATTTAGTAAATAGTGAAAATGTGTAACACATGTAACATGCAAACAACGTATTAGTAATTCAAAATAAGGTTCTAAAACAGGGTCTACACTCTGAGCCTACTGACGCAAAATTGTGTGGACACAGCAAGCTAACTATAATGGTGGTACCTCTGATGATTTTAGCTTTTCTTCTATATATCTTCCTATATTGCTTACAGTATCTATATGAAAGTGCGTTAACTTTATAATCAGACAAAAAGTAGAGCTGTTTTCATCTTGGAAGAACATTTTAAAGTCACTGACCTCCCAAGTGAAACTCAAGAATCAGTCCCCTTTATTAACTGCATAATGAACAGATCATTTTAATGGCCTTTCTCTTTTATGGTTTTACTGCTCAGCTTTTGGATTTCTAGATTGGGACTTTATATCCAAGAACAGAAACAATAATGGAATCAGCTATTTGACTATGACTTGATTTCTCCATTAATAAACCGAATTTGCTTTGTCAATTAATATCCTCTAAGATTATCCTCTAAGACTTATGTATCGTAATAGTAAGTAATCTGCAATATAGGCCCTTGACGTGTCCATCTTCATCAGATGGTAATCAGTGTTCTGTCTTTTTCCCACCTTCAGATGTATCAGAACATGGATGGCCACATCTCAGACCGTCCTTCCGTCTACCAAAACAGGCGACCTTACAGCAGAGAGGTGGATTCAGGGCTCCTGGTTCCACAGGCTCACGTTGAAGATTCCTAGAGAAACAGTTTAGTCTTAAGGACTTCCTCCCTCCAACCCCCACCTTAAACAGGCTGTAGATTACCAAAACAGGATTAATTTCATCACCAGAAGAAAGTATATTCTCAGCTGCTGCTTTGCTGGACTTTTCTCTAGAAGCTCTCTGTATTTACTCTTGTTTTCAAAGGAACTTTTGTAAAAAACAAATCATCCTTTGCACAAGGCAGGAGGAGCTGATAATTAACTTTACTGGAGCATCTACCTACATCCAAAGCCCTTCTTGGGCTGGCTTGAGTGAAAATCGTGTACCTGAGGTATAGTATATTCTTGTAAATACATAAAACAAAAGCATTTTGCTAAGGAGAAGCTGATATGATTTTTTAAATCTATGTTTTAAAATAATATGTAATTTTTTCAGCTATTTAGTGATATATTTTATGAATGGAAATAAAATCTCTTCTCTAGAAATGTTTGTCATTGAATTGTTTACATGACATATTTAGGGCAAGACTTAACTGGAGGGCAGGAACCTAATGAAATTATGTGCAGCAATTTGTTTGTGCATGTGTAGTTTTTTTCTACTGAGAAGCTCCAGCCTTTCGTCAGATTCTTAAAAGGATCCGTGACTCCTGCCCCCAGACCAGAGCAGAACAGCTGATGTCTGCTTGCTTCTCTGTAGCACTCCATGGGTTCAGCCTCCTTCGTCCTTTGAATTCAGCTTAGCTCTCTCCCTCCCACAGGCTTATAAAGTTGACTTGCCCTCATCCTTACTTTCCAGGTGTGGTTCTTGGTGAAGAACGTGATGAAGGTTTGCCCTTTCTTGTCCTCCCTTCCAGGGCCGTAGTTAAGATAAGAACCCTGAAGCCAGTCTACCTGGGCTGGAATTCTTTTTCCAACGTTGCTTAGCCATGCAACGTTGGGCAAGTAACTGAACTTGTTTAGGTCTCAGCTCTCTCTTTGGGAAGATGGAGTAATAATGGATGGCATCTATCTTACACGGTTGTGGTAAGAATTAGATGGACTACATATATAATATATGTAATTTATAAATGTATGCATAAACAGATGATCCCCCACTTACGGTGGTTCAACTTAAGATTTTTCGACTTTATCGTGGTGCAAAAGGGATACACATTCTGTAGAAACCTTTCTTTGAATTTTGAATTTCCCCGGCAAGCAATACGCAGTATCTCTCATGTCTCTCGTGATGCAGCTCCCAGTCAGCCATGGGATCGCAGGGTGAGAAACCAAAACAGTGACAGCCGTTGTATACTCATTCAGCCATTCTGTTTCTCACTTTCAGTACAGTATTCAGTACATTACTTGAGATATTCAACACTTTATTATAAAATAGGGTTTGTGTTAGATGATTCTGCCCAGCTGGATGGAGGTTGATGTCGTCGGTTTTCTGAGCACATTTGAGGTGGGCTAGGCTAAGCTGTGAGGTTTGATACGCTGGTGTATTAAATGTATTTCAACTTAGATATTTTCAACTTACTATGGGTTTACTGGGACATAACCCCATTGCAAACTGAGGATGATCTATATTACATAAACATACAGATTGCACGGATAGCGCTTGGCCCATAAATGGAAGGCAATTTGTCATTTGCACTTCCCTTCTGGTTTTAGTCTTTTACTTTAGACCAGGCCACCATACACTCACTTAGATTACACAAATCCGTTCTTCACCTAACCTCTTCTCCCAATCTCTGGGCCATCCAATGTTTTCTGTGGCCACAGATAGATTTGTCTTCCTAAAGTATTGCTATGCACACACCACTTCCGGCAGGAGCACATCCGGTGACTCCCGGTGTCTATCAGCTAAAGCCAAATTCTCTTGCCAGCATTCATGCCCACCACAGCTGGGCTCCCCTGCATTTCTCAGTGTCAGACTACCCAGCGCCATCTATCTCTGTCACCAAAACCATCCGCTCATGTTCAGTGGGTATGTCATGGGCATTCCTATCTCCACTGTCTCTTTTCTTCACCCTCCACCCTCCTGGGATGCTTCCTCCTATTCAAGGAAGCCCCTGCTCCATGGCCAGACTTGAGCTCTGTCTTACACTTCAGGTCTTTCTCAGCTCCACCAGCCATCAGTGCTGGCTTCTTCCACTGAAATCTACAGGCTCCTTGTCCATATCATCCAGTTGGCTCCTAACCTAACCATTCTTTCTTTTCTTTTTTTCTTCTTTTCTTTTCTTTTGTTCTTTTGTTCTCTCTTTCAGAGAGAGAGAGAGAGAGCGCTCGAGCAGGGGGAGGGGCAGAGGGAAAGGGAGAAGCAGACTCCCCGCTGAGCAGGGAGCCTGATGCGGGGCTCAGTCCCGGGACCCTGAGATCATGACCTGAGCCGAAGGCAGGCGCTTAACCGACTGAGCCACCCAGGTGCCCCAAACATTCTTTCTTTTCACTTGGATTTTTTTAAGCAACAAAAACGTATTATCTTACAGCTCTATACGCGAGCAGTTCAACAAATGTCCTTCTGGGCTAAAATCAAGGTGTCATCAGGGTTGCGTTCCTTTCTGGAGGCTCTAGCGGAGAATGTTTCCTTGCCTGTTCCAACTTCTAGAGGCTGCTAGAATTCCTTGGCTGGTGGTCCTCCATCTTTATAGCCAACAATGTTGCCTCTCTCTAACCATTCTCTAGCCATGTCTCCCTCTGACTTTGAACTCAGCTGAGGCTGGTTCTCTGATTTTAAGGATTATGTCTTTTCACTTGGAGTTTTAGAAGTTTGAAAGTAGATAAGATTTATTCCAAGTTGTTATGCCTAATTCCTATTTGTGTATACAGTCAGGACACACAAAATACATGTATTCAATTATTTTTTGCCTACTCAGGTTAAAGCATTCAAAGAATTTTGTATTTTTTCTTATAGTAGTAAGTGAAATTTACCCTTTATGCACCCAACCCAAATCCCAAACTGCTTCTTCAGAGGAAATGCTGTTCAAGTTTCAGGTATAGTTCTTCCATCTTCTTGCTTAAATATACTTACATGTATTTACACCAACACACACCCCCACAGAACTCTCTGTTTTTTACATAAATGGAATTACACTAGCCATATTGTCAAACATATTTTTGTGGTTAACCATGTGTCAATATTTTCCCAACTATACATGTTTGTGCGGCACTTGTGATGAGCTAAGCATTGTGCTAAAAATGATACATGTATTCTCTTCTGTAATTTTCCTAACTGCCTTATGAAGTAGGTACTAATATGATACCATTTTTTTCCTGGAGAAATTGGAACTTAATTTAGTAACCTGTGGTCTCCAAGCCGCTGTTAACACTTATCATGTGGTTGCTCTTGGGTTCTACTATTATTTTAACTATTTTATTTATTTATTTATTTATTTATTTATTTATTTATTTATTTATTTATTTATTTATTTATAATTGTGGTAAAAAAACCCCAACATATAATGCAAAACTTATCATCTTAACCATTTTTATGTGTACAATTCAGCCATGTTAAGTATATTCACATTGTTGTGCAACCGATCTCCAGAACTTTTTCATCTTGTAAATCTTAAACTTTGGCCCCACTGAACAATAGTTCCCCTTTTTTCCCTCCCCTGAGCCCTGGTAACCATCATTCTACTTTCTGTTTGTCTTTTTTGTGACTGACTTATTTCACTTAGCATTGTGTCCTCAGGGTTCCTCCATGTTGTGGTATGTGACGGGACATATTCCCTTTCTTTTTAATGCTGATAATATTTCACAGTATGTGTATATATTTTGTTTATTCATTTATCTGATGGGCATTTAGTTTGCTCCCACCTCTTGTCTATTGCGAATAATGCTGCTGTGAACACGGGGGTGCCAATACCTCTTTTGAGACCCTACTTTCATTTTTTTTTGTTTTGTATATTTTTGTATGCTTTTGTAGAGAAGTGGGATTGCTGGATCAACTGGTAATTCTATTTTTAAGTTTTTGTTGTATTATTCTTAAAGACCCTGTTGTAGTGATCATGAGTTTCTTTGGCCATCCAGTGTCAATTCCCATTTCTTTCAGTAACAGCACCGTGGTTGGAGGCATGGCTTCTCCTTCTGGCATGCAGTGGAGTGGGACTTCGGTAGAGGGCGTTTGCCTTCTAGCCCAGCAGGGTCCTTGACACAAGCTCGGCTAATAAACTTCCTCTCTTGTTCTGGAACTTTGTAACTGGACTGGATTCAGGCAAGGATGAAAAAGGGAGTTGGAACCCATTATTCTCACAATACTGGTCTCTGACAAAAGTGACAAGCAGTCCCCACTTCCTAGATCCCTGGAGCTGCTTTGGTCCCTCTTCTTGGGCAAGCCTTGGTCTCTGGCCTTCCTGTTAGGTCTGTGAGCCACCCAGTGTCCTTTCCGTAAATCCCCTTGCCAGGAACCCAAGTCCACCTCCAGCGCTCACAGCCAAGACCCTTGGCACACACACCTGCATTGATTCGCAGTCTTCCTGCACCAAATTGAGGATTTCATCTGCTTTGTCTTCTCTAGAAAGTCCTTTCTGTTTTGGTTGGCCAATGGTCTTCTTTCAAGTTTCAAATGATTTATCTTCATTTGTATATGATTCCATTATGTTGCCAGGATCTGAGGAAGTAGAGTAAAAGCCCTCTTGAACTGCTTGACCAAAAATGTGGGCGATCATAAGGAGGAAAAGAGAAGCAAATTAACGTTTGTAGAACTTTTATAGAAATGTTCTCCTTTTCCTTCTGCCAAACTGATTTTAGCCAGACCCACATACATTCTGAACGTGGCTTCACTCCAGATGGAACCAGATAAATACATTTACACATGGAATCCCCGACTTAGCACACCCCTTGCAGTTGTAGTATCAAAGGCACCAAAGAATTGATTTCCTTGAAAATGAATATGCTCCTGTTCATGAGTTTTATAAAAATAGCACCATACTCTATATAGACTTCCAGTTCCTGCTTTCTTAAAAAAAAAAAAAAATCAACGTTGTGTTTCTTTTTTTTTTTTTTTAAAGATCTTATTTATTTATATGAGAGACAGAGAGCATGAGAGGGAGGAGGGTCAGAGGGAGAAGCAGACTCCCCGCCGAGCAGGGAGCCCGATGCGGGACTCGATCCCGGGACTCCAGGATCATGACCTGAGCCGAAGGCAGTCGCTTAACCGACTGAGCCACCCAGGCGCCCCAATGTTGTGTTTCTAAGATTCACTCATGGTGCTCCATGGATCTTAAGTTCTTTCATTTCATTGATGTGTGATGTGAATATATAATTACCGCTATTTATTCATTTTCACACTGATGATATTTGAAGCTTTTTGGGTTGGGTGGGATAATGGGTTCATGGTGTTCATTAATCTTTTACTTTGTAACATAACTTTTGTAAATACCAAATGTGATATTTAAAAGGCAACATTCTCTGAGGAAGGAAGGCATTTAAAAACCGTATTGGGGAAAAGAGAATTAGACTCTACTAAACACAGCTCTTACCACAGATCCGGTA